AGTTGCAGCCTTCAGTTAGGTCTTCAAGTTTTCGTGACCCAAATGCAAATGTTAAATATCCTGACTGGAACATTTCTAAATTTTCCTTTTTTTTTGTGATTTTCATATGAAGCTTACAAGTAATTTGGAAAATCCCAGAACAATTTAAAAGTCACCTGCAGAAGCTTTTCCCTTTGGCCAACTATTGATACAGTTCTTTTTCCCCCTTTTCGTTGAGAATGAAGATGCATTCCTGAAATGCAGCCAAACATATTTCATTTTCACAGTCAACGAGGCAAAAGTTTTTCAATCTACCCGGAAAATGCATCACCTTGCCTCTGCCCACCTCAGGTTGCATCGTCTGCGGCAAACTGTGTCATCAGACTGGCATAACTTTTATTGAACTGTCGCCTGGGGGGGAGTTACAACTATCTTTCTCTCTCTATACTATATAGTTCAGGGAAGTCAAAGGTTGGGAAGCCCAAAGGTGACAAGTGCCGAGTCAAAAGCCGCAGACATTTGTATAAATTATTACAGTCGCCCCATGGCGGCGTTCAAAGCGTTTCTCGATATGCATTTATGATTGCATATGACATTTGCATGACGTTGCCACGCCTCCTTTCTCCTTTTCGCCACCGCCCACCATTTCAATTTTTCACTTGTTGAACAGCTGACTTTGGCTTATACGAAATGCAGTTTCCTTGAGGTCTCTTGAGTCGGAATTGGAATTGAAGTCAGACTTTTGGAGCGGAGAATGGAATGGAGGATGGTGGTTGGAGGATTTCTCCTGTGGCTTTTTGGTATTTGCACGACACAATCATTAAATAGCCATGGCCAAGTGCTGACAACCACAAGTACGGCAAAGAGGCCAAAAACAAAAACCAAAACAACAACAACAAATTACAAGCTCACATTGTCAGAGTTGCACTTTAGGCGACATAAATTTTATGTACGTCGCCCTGACAGAGCAAACAAAAAATACGGCGAAAAGGGGATCGATTTTGAAGAAACGAAGATAGAAATACCCTTTATTTGTGAGTCCCCCCAAAGAGGGTATTTTAATAAGTTAAATTAAATATTAACTATATTATTAACTTAAAGAAATAAGAGTCAAACAAAATGTTTTATTAGTTATTAAATAAAAACTAAAAAAAAAACATTTTTTAGTTTTCGATTGTTATGAAAAGTTGAATGACCTTTTGTTAGGGTATCAAAAAGAAGACCGAAGTCAACCAAAAGCAGCAGCGGCAGCCAGGAGGTGTCAATGTACAATTGCAGCAAAAACAACAACAATGGCATTGGCAGCAATGAGCTGCTGGCACAACAAAGAGCCCATTGTTGTTGTTGTGCTTTTTGTTGCTGCTGCTTTTGTTGCTGTTGGTGTTGGTGTTGGCCGTTGATGTTGCTGTTGCACATGCCAAATGCGGACAGAGACACGACGCCAAGGAGCCCCGCCGTATGGACACAAAGCTCATCCCACAAAACACTTGAAGAAATATAAAAAATAATTCATAATTTATATCAAATGGTATTGGCTAGATCTAACTCTAATATCCCAACATAAATATTGATTAGAAGGCATTAATTAGAAGTAATCTATGAAATTGAGAAATATAACTATTTCTTCCAGTGCACCTGCTTGGTCCTCCTTTCCTTTAAGCGGTTACAAAGCATTTCTCACTGTTCTATTGACACACGCAACGCTCGTCTTGGAATGTTGCCGCCGTTGTCGCCATCGCAGCGGCTTGTGTAATTACGCGAGTCGCATTAGCACAACAAATCGACCCCACAGAGCTGCATTTAATTAGTGGCTCAGCAGCTTGGACGACGCGACGACGACGACGACGACGACGACTACGACTATGGCAAACATGTCAGGCGAAATTGTTGGCATAATTCATAATTGAACTGCATTCGTGGCTGCCACACGCTCTCGCATCCTCAGCCGCATCCTTGGTGTATATCTTTGCCAATTTGGAGGCCCAGCTCTGTTTGCTTTGATGGCTACATAAATTTCCTGATAGGTTTGTGGCGCCCAACGTGAGGCCTTCTTGGCTGGTGTTTGTCGTGCCAGGTATGCAATATACCGCAGCCCCCCTCATCCTTCACTTTGACCGCTTTAAACTGCCGATTTATATACCCTATCAGAAGGGGGTATATGGGATTTATGAGCGGAAGTTGGCAGGTAACAGCATGTGGATTTTATAACTTATTTATTAGTTAATAAAAATTAAAAAGAAAGAAATTTGAAATGACTTTCCTTAAGTTGGAATCTATCTAAGGTCTTAAAGAGTATTTCAAATCCTTTAGCTAGCTTTTCCTAGACCTTAAACTCGTTAAGAGTCTTTTTAAATATTGTTACCTCCTGTGCACTGGGCGCACCTACAACATTTGTGGTTGTATAAGCGGCAGTACCGTTATTTCTCGCTCTTTGGGAGTTGTTAGTCGAGTATTCCATTACCACAATTCACATGTCGGCCCAAAAGACCACCCAGGTTATTGTTTTCCGCGACTGTATCTGTATCTGTTTCTGTAACTGTGACTATGTTTTCGCCGGGTTCAAAGACTGTTGACATTCGTGGGTTATTGTTATTGCGATTGTTGCGGCAACCACATCCGTTTTAGTTGCATGTTGCAGGCCATTGATTGACGTAAGCGCTTTAAAGACTTTGTCAAACGAGGTCCATAAAGAACCTCGACTCCGTCCGCCGTTGACTCTGGAGTGCAATTTGCCAAAGGGATTGGGTTCTGCACCGAAAAATATGAACAAGCCAAATGGGAAAATGGGAAACTGAGGACAGTGAACAAGCCCAAGCGGCAGACATGAGACACCACCAAACACTTCATATGACAATCAAACTTTGTCTGCAGGAAGCCAAAGGGGGTAAAACGAAAAAAGAATAACTATTCCGAACGATTTAACAATGAATTCTGCAGCAAAATCTCCATGAAAATAGATATAAAGCGAGACAGACGTCGAGAGGAAGAGATAATGGTGGGAAGTAGCATATAACCATAATATCAATTTCAATAAACTAACAAGCAAATGTGCGAGATGTGAGCGGAAGCGAACTAACACAGTCCGGAGTAGTACATAGGAACTTATGGAGCGCACGGAGGATGTGGCTTGGAAGGTTGTCATATGCCAGCAGACATACGGACAGGTGCCATCAAAGTAAATTTCAATTCCGCAGCAAAGCGAAAGAATAACAAACTGAAAGTAAGGATATTGAGAAGATTGGGTATATGAAAACACTTTGGCAACAAGAGCTGCCAAAACTCAAACCAATAAGTGTCCAAATGTTTGCCAGATGATTGCCAACTAGATAAAAATCACTAAGAAGTACTCCCGAAGAAGAAATCTAAAAATGTGAAACAATCAATGAAAGGATCTTTAATAAACTCCCAGCTCAGACTAATCAAAAAACACTTTCACTCACTAGATAAAGCTTGATATTCTTAAAAACATTTGTAGAAATATTAAACCTAAGCATACCTTCTTATCTGTTTGTAAATAAAACTTTCAAAGAGTAAAACTTTAACTTTTTTAACTTATTCCTGAAATAAAAGAACTGGAAGGAACTTTCCCTGGAGTTGTTTTTTTATTCACTAATGTTACAGTTTCCTTGAATAGATAAAAAGTCCTTTGCTTACCACCAACAGCAATAAAATCCCAACTTTTTTGCGAAATTTATTGAGCAAAACTTTAACTTGATTCGAGACAAAGCAAGGAACATAGAAACTAAGTCTCAGTCTTTGTCTTTTTCCCAACGAAGTAAGTAACTTCCCGGTTGAGGGAAACACAAGAGTATGCAATGCAAAATGTTGTTGCCACTCTGCAGTTTCTAGATATTTGTAGCTTATTATCCATGTAGCTACAACATGTGGATGCGTTTGCTGTATGACAAGTCAAATTAACATGTGCAACACAATCCTCACTCACTTTCCAAGCCAAAAGGATGGCAGATTTCGAGTTGCAGTCCTTGTTGTCATTCGACACTTTGTGAAAACTTTGCTCGGGGTGCCGGCAAATGTCAGCACATTTGTGACTCCTCATCCTTGGCCAAATTAATGCCCCGGCCAGCATGGCGTATACTTGTTAAATGCATAGCAGCATCACCGAGCATCCAAGAACATCTCAACAACTGTCGACATTTTCGCCTGCAGCTGCAGCTTTTCTTACACCAACCCCAGCGATTTTTTCCCCAACCTTTTTTGCATCCCCTTCAATGTTGCAAGCTCTTTTGTATGGCACAATCCTCCATTGTTCATTGTTTAAAAGTGGGTAAAGTGGTGCAGCACAGGCTGGAGAATAATAAAAACTGATGCAAGACGAGACCTTCGGGGCAAAGTTAAGGCCTTCCTTTCGGTCTATTCCATTTTTCTTTTCTTTCTCCAATTCAACCTTAACCCACATTCGGTTTCAATTATCGTGCACTCCAGTGGAAACCAGAAAAACCACAGCCGAAAAAGCTTTAAAAATTAATATGCTGAAAATCTTGAAACAATTTGCAAACTAATAGCAAAAGGCTTAAAATCGCATTAAAAGTTTCACCCAAGAACTATCGGCACAGGCCACCGGCACCCAAACACTCATGTAGAGTTTTATATGCTGAAAGATTCAATAAGCAGCAAGTTGTGGTGGGCACAAAGTTTGCAGTCAGAAAGGCTTAAAGCCTTTTCAAAGTGGCAGCACCAGCAGCAGCAGCAACAGCTTAAAGCCAAAACTTCGGGCTCGAGGCGAAAAATATTGCACTGGAAAAATAAGTCAAGAAATCATCAACGATGCCATTAGCATAGAGTCCAGAAGTGACCGAAGTTCTTGCCCTCAAGAGTGGCCAAAACTTTGGTGAGTTTTTCTTTTTTTGAAGGGGTTGCTGAAACTTTTAACAATCTCTTTACATTTTCCTTGCTTTATGCAGGAAAAATAGGAATACATAAATGGCTTATTTGATTCTTTGAAACAAAAAATATGCAGTCTGATTTTGATTAAAGACTTTTATTTAAATTTCTTATTACAGATGAACTCAATTTGAAGGAAAAGAAAACCTAATAGTACCTAAAAATCCATTATTAATGACCATGCAGGATATACGCTTACGCCTGGAACCACAGCACAGTACAGCCACATTCATATCCTCCTCCTCAGCCTCTTTGTCCTCATCCCAAACAGCTGAGACTACGCTGATTGAGACAGCTGAGAAGTCGCCAACCAGGTGAGCAAAAACACAAAAAAAACTCCCTTAATCTTTAACTCAAAGTTTCTTCCTCCCCCTTAATCCTTGGGCTCATTTGTTAACCGCAGTGAAGCAGCTGCCGGAACAGTGACAACGACATCTCCGCAGCATTATTTCCATCATCATCATCCGCCGGCGCTTCCGCATCCGCAGCCTCAGTCCCGCCAGCCGACGAATCCGCATAGTCACACGCATCCACATCCGCACCTTCAACGTCGTCCGGTGGAGCAATTGCATCTGCTGCACAGCCACCACGATGTCCAGGAGCTGTCCGGACAGGAGCATCTACATCCGCATCCGCACACCAGCTCCCACCCGCATCCACAACATCTGCGCTCGCCCAGCTCCGAGGAGGATAATTCGCCCACTGAAATGAATAATTGCCGTCGTTTGGTGGATAAGCCGCCGCTGGTAAGTCCCGCCAGGGTTCACTGTAAGAAAGAAATAAGCCTTATCTTGATTAAATATTTAATAATTAAGTAAGAAATCGTAAAGGAAAGTCTTTAATTTTTTTAATATTATTTAGAAATCCAAGTCTAGTTTACAAGATTTACCAGAAAAAGTTTTTGGTGTATTTTCACCGATTTTCTCTGCAGTAAGCTCCTTTTTCCTTCACCACTTCTTTCCAATTCTGTTGGTTAATATTAACTATTAGCCAAGGTATTTGAAAAAAAAAGACGGCAGTCGAGGGAGCAATCATTTTTTGCTTTGTTGCCAGGATCCTTTGTAGCCTATTTCTCAATGCTTGCAAATTACTTTGCTCGGAACATAAATCTGCTTACGCTGGTGATTGGCCAGGAAGCAAGGGGGAAATGAAGGGAATTACCTATTGGGATGCACTTAATGCCAAAGCAATGCCAAGTAGCGGCGGAAATGGAAAACTTCAAATCGAGACAGCATCAACAAAATTTCAAAGATGAGGAAATTGCAAAAAATGAGTGGAAATCCTTTGGCTGAGGATGAAGTGTAGTTCTGTAATGTACTTAATGTTTTTATTTTTGTTTTTTTTTGCAAATTTTAAATTTCCTGTACTTAGTTTAAGTCACCACTTTAAGTCACTTGGCTGAAATTGCGCTGCTTGAATCGAATTCAAAAGCAATTGGAATTGGAGTACGTACTCCAGGTGGAAAGTGTTTTTGCCACTAAACCTGCAGCCGAAAAAGTGTTCATTAAATTAATTTGCACAAATGCAAATTTTCGAGTAACGGCACTTTGGCACGCGCCACTAACAAAGGTGCACCAACTGCACACAACTAAAATGGGGCAAAAATGGGCGCACACTGAGATAAAATTCCAATGTTACAGGAAATTAAGCAAAAATTGCAAAGTGAAAGGTTTCTTATTACCAAGGAAAGGCGTTTAACTTAAATTAATAATAATTATAGTTAGCATTAAACTGCCTTTTAAAATTCACAATATTAAGCTCAATTTTAACCTCCAAATGCAAATTGAAATGATCATGAACTTGATAGCAGTCTATAATCCTTAAGAGCTCCACAAACTAATTACATTCTTCTGTTGGCAGCAACTCAAACAAAATCCCCGTTGCCATTTATAACTTGCTACTTAAACAATTTAATGGCAACGCGTTAAATGCTTCCCATTTTCCTCTAGTGCAGTTTGAAGTTGGAAAATGGAAAATAGAATATAGGAGTCCTTGGGAACAATGGGCTGGGATGCCTGGGAAATGGCAGGCAAATGCCGTTAACTTACTGACTTTATGACACATAAATCGCAGCAACAGCGATGCCAAATGCATCCGACAGCCAGTTGCCGTTGTCACGTGTTTGTAGGCCTAGGGAATGGTATGGCATGGCATGGAAATCCTTGCCGAAAGGACAATGGGACAACTTTTCTCTGGCGCCGCCTGAAAGTAGGCAACGTGAAAAGTTTTCCACAGATAACAAGGCAAGGAAAATGCGAGAAAATCAAATGGCAGAAGGAGTAGCAGCACTGCTGTGCTATGAATGCTGCTTAGACACGTCTATTGTGCCATTGTCTGGGAAAAATACCTTGGAAAAGTCCAACAGCCAACCGCCGCCCACTGCATTCTTTATAGTCAGGATTTGTCTGGCAGTTCTGGGAGTTCTAGTCCTCCGAGCTGAATTGCATAATGCGTTGGGCTTCCCTTCCGATGCCATTAGCATAATGGGGGCATTAGGTTGGCACGATGCTCTGATTGCATACTTAACGACAGCCAAGTGCTGCCAATGCGCCAATTTAATTAGCTGCAATTGAACAAAAAGAAAAACCAACAGCCTCAATCGAAGGAATCCTCCATTTAACTTAGAATACTGGCCAAGTTAATCGCCTTTCATCTTCATAAAATCAACATAATTATCGCAAATTACGAGGAAATAACCAAGTCCAATTTACGTTTAGGCTGCTAATTACGGAACGCAATGGGAAACAATTTAAAGAGCGGCAAAGGAAAACCCAAAGGCAGTTGTATCAGCCAACGTCAGAAACTTTCCATTCAGGCTCCAAACTCATTTCAAAGTAATTTGCCGCAAAATCCAATGGCTGGCGGTGGGTCGTCGTAGTGCGGCCAACAAGAGGCGTGGCAAGCCCTGTTTAACATTTTATTGGTAACCAAAAATTTTACACATCAATCTCGGTTGTTTTTTGGGGTGGGATAAAAGTGGTAAAATACGAAATGGGTGGCATGACGTTGTTGTTGTTGTGGCTCTGACTGTGAGAGCTAAAGTGTGTTTGATGTTTGTTGGATTCTCCGGGGGAAGGGAGTGCATGGGGATAAGCTGTAGGGGGAGGTACCACAAATCCCTGAACGAATGCACCTGCCCCGATACTGGTCAGACAACAGTAGTCCCAAATTCACCATTATAGCAATGCAAAAACTTTGCCAAATTGGCAGACAACATGCAACATGCAAAATGTACGACTAGAAGTTGCCACACTGAAAGTAAAATAGATGTGATAATTGTAAGAATTTTTAAAATAGTTTTACAAACAAATATACAATAACATATTAAAAATACTGGAGCTTTATTTTATCAATAATATAAAATATTGTATTTTTTCCAATTTTATTACCAATTTTCAACTAAAAAGTATTTCTCCCTGCTCATTGCCATCCGTTCACAGGTGAAACGCCTGACCATGGGTATCGGCCTGCTGCGGGGCACTGAGGATAGTCGCCCACTTGTGCACAGCACCTGCGGCTCCTCCCTGACCTCTGGATCCGGGTGTGGGTCCACTCAGACCATCTCCGATGGCTATGTGAACGAGGCCATCTGCGAGCCGGACAAGTACGTTGCCAGCAAATTTGGTGACTCCTGCCGGCAATCGCTGTCCGCTCTGGAGAGTGCCACCCAGCGATTGCAGGTTGAGCTGCCGGCCAGCAACAAGAAGTATCTAAGGGAGACGTGCAGCGGTAGGTGTTTGAATTAGTTGCACTTTAAGAAAATTTCATTTAAGTGATTAGTTTAATTATGAAAACATTAATATTTTATGGTATTTTCTAAACATTATAAATATTTATTTCATGATATTTTTTTCTATTTTGTTTAGCCAACTCCAGTCCAAAATTGTTTCCTGCCCACGGTTCCCTGCGCCTGGATAATCTCAGCCTATCAGAACAGCAGGAGCTAAAGGGGGCTGCATGGTTTCAAGCCGGAATTCCCCGGGAAATCTCGCTAGAGGTCTTATCCCGACAGAGTCCAGGTGCATTTCTAGTGCGCCAGAGCAGCACAAAGCCGGGCTGCTTTGCCCTATCCCTTCGAGTGCCTCCTCCTTCGCCAAGGGTTGCCCACTATCTGATCCTGAAAACCCAAAGAGGATATAAGATTAAGGTGGGAATTATAGTTATTTAAAATTCTATTAATACATTTATTAAATAAATATTTTTATCAAATTTCAGGGCTTTACCAAGGAGTTCAGTTCGTTGAAGGCGCTGATTACGCACCATTCGGTAATGCCGGAGCTTCTGCCTGTTCCACTGACCCTGCCACGACCACCGAACACCCGATCGCAGCGTTCCCAGGCCGCCTACGGAGGCGCAAGTGGGAATGGGGGAGCTGACTTTGAGATGTACGGCTCCCTGAACGACTTTCGCAAAATGATGGCCGATTTGAATGTGTGACCGCTGGGCGCACTTAATTAATTAAGTAATTATGTCACGTTGATTGAATTAAGCTGCCCGGCTTGTCACATTGTCCGGGTCGAGACAGGATAACAATCTGTTTAATTTGCGTAATTGGCTGTGCTGACGACGGTTGACGTGGCTACCGACAAATAGGGTCCATGTCCACGTGCATTTTGAACGGGCAATGGCCTACCACCTGTCCGCCAGGTGCTTCAAAAATTGCACAAATTTTTATTAAAATTGATAATAAAATCAGCTACGTGGGCGGCGTCTGTGGTTGCCACAAGGGGCGTGTGCATACACAAATATATGAAATACGCTCAAATCATTTTCTGCGAAACTGATTAAAAAAGTGCAAAAACATGCAATATGTATACGCAAACAGACATCAAGTGATTATTATTTTTCGCGTTTTTATCATTTTTTATTCGTTTTGTATGGTTTTTGCTGAGTGGCAGGTGCATCAGACAGACATCTGAATGGGGCAGTCGGATTAAATGTTAATGTTTGGGTAGGGAAATCGAGAGGAGGCTGCCGGGATTTGGAGTGCGGCAACGGTATGGGTACAATGGATTCTTTTTGTGGTGCATTTGATGCACTGATAATGCAGAGAACTAGATAGATAGACTTATACATGAACTAAATCAATAACCAATTATATTGTAACTATATGTATTTTGTGTAATAAAAATAATGGAATATATTTAACAGTTTAAATGGTTTTTGTGTTACATTCCGGTTATCTTAAATTAACGTTAATAAGAGAACTTTAGGATTATTCAAATTAATATAATTTGGTATCTATCTAATGATAATGATATAATTATAACTTAAATATATTGTTCAAAATATGTTCGAATTTCCCGCCAAGTAAGAGTAAATAGCGGCATGCATTCTCGGCTTCGAGGTTTGTGTATTTGGTGGTAAACCAGCATTGTGTTGACAAGGCTATCGATATTTATCCATACACTTCGAAAAATAATATATTTTCATAATAATCCTCCTTTCTTATTTATAAAATTAAACTAGTTTGACATACAGCTAAATATAAATATCTAGATTTGAGAACCTATATTATCATATTTATAAATAATACGAAATGGCAAACATAGATTTATCTAATGTATATACATAAATTGGTAGTGGAACATGCTATTACCAAGAGAGCACTGTACAAGAGCAGACTCTTCTTTATGACTGCTATCGATAGTTGACGCTCCTATCGGCTAATCGAATCCCACCCCAAGGCCAGCTGCCACCGCTTCCCGCGCATTTTCTGCAGCCCAGGTAGGTCAAAATCAGGATTGATTGCATACCGTGTTTTCACTCGTCTCAAAACCTCCGTAGCAACACCATCCAGACAACGTGGAATTCCCGCTGAACTAGAGACCGGCATTATTTCCATTGTGAGTGCAAGAAATTTCAGCGGCATCATCGGCGTCCCTAACCTTATATATTATATACACACATTTTTGCAGTTTCGGTGACCAAAATTGTGAAAATACAACTTAAAATGCCGCGCAGAAAGGCCCTGACGAACAACAACAATGCCGGCGAGTCGGAGCATCAGGCTCCCAAGGCGAAGCGCGCCAGGATCGCCTTCCATTTGGATCTCCCCCAGCGAAAATCCATATTGGGCAACGTGCTGGTTTGCGGCAATGGAGATATGGGACAACTTGGCCTCGGCGAGGACATATTGGAGCGCAAGCGTCTCAGCCCAGTGACTGGAATCCCTGATGCTGTGGATGTTGTTGCCGGAGGCATGCACAACTTAGTGCTAACAAAAACGGGGGACATCTACTCTTTTGGCTGCAATGATGAAGGAGCACTGGGTCGCGACACCAGCGAGGATGGCAGCGAATCCAAACCAGGACAGATCGATTTGCCCGGCAAGGCATTGTCCATTTCGGCGGGAGATTCGCACTCTGCCTGTCTGCTCGAGGATGGACGCGTCTTCGCTTGGGGTTCGTTCCGAGACTCGCACGGCAACATGGGCCTTACCATCGATGGAAACAAGCGGACACCCATTGATCTGATGGAAGGTACTGTCTGCTGCAGCATCGCCTCAGGTTCCGATCACTTGGTTATCCTAACCACCGCCGGCAAGATCTTCACCGTGGGTTGTGCCGAGCAAGGACAATTGGGCCGGCTATCGGAACGTTCCATTTCTGGAGAGGGTAAGTCTTCGACTATACACAGCCGAGATATCTTTATTAATCCATATAATCGCCTAGGTCGTCGTGGCAAGCGAGACTTGCTGCGGCCCACCCAGCTCATCATCACGCGGGCCAAACCCTTCGAAGCCATCTGGGCCACCAACTACTGCACATTCATGCGGGAATCGCAGACAGGGGTCATCTGGGCCACCGGGCTGAACAATTACAAGCAACTAGCCTTCGACACAAAGAACAGAGATTTCGCACTTACGCCTATTAAGACGGAACTCAAAGATATCCGACATATTTCCGGCGGTCAACATCACACACTCGTTCTGACCACGGACGATAAATGCTCGGTGGTGGGACGTCCAGAGTACGGACGCCTTGGTCTAGGTGATGTCAAGGATATTGTGGAGAAGCCGACGCTTGTAAAGAAACTGAGCGATAAGATTGTGTCCGTGGGCTGTGGCGAAGTCTGTTCCTATGCCATTTCGGAGGATGGCAAACTCTATTCCTGGGGCTCCGGCATTAACAATCAACTGGGTGTTGGCGATGGTGACGATGAACTCGAACCGGTAGTGGTTGTCAGTAAGAATACGCAAAACAAACAAATGCTGCTGGCATCCGGCGGTGGTCAGCATTCCATCTTTTTGGTCCAGGCGGATAAACAGGAGCAGAAGGAGAATTTGCCGGCGAAGCCGTCTGGTAGCAGCAGTAATAAGAAGGACAAGACACCGCAGCAGGAAAATGCCGAAAAGGAGACCGAAAAGTCGGATAAACAGGAGCAGAAAGAAAATGTCCCGGCGAAGGCATCCGCCAGCAGCAGCAGTAAGAAGAACAAGACGCCGCCGCAGGATGATGCCGACGAAGAGGCCAAAGAGGAGCCCGTTTCGGCTACCCCTCCCAAGAAGGCCAAGAAGCCGGCTGCCAAGCGAGGCGGAAAAAAGACATAAGATTGAGTATAAATACGCTGACTTTTCCCATTTTGTTTTTGGTCACATTAAGTGGCACCCCCGTACGCTTACTTAACGCTTAAGGAAAGTTTACTCATGGTCCGGATTCGTAAGATAGATCGCAAGTTTTTCTTATAATATGTTAAGATTTACGAACTGAGTCCTGTTAAGTTCTTATTATTTCGATAAATAGATGCCCCGCTCATATCTTACAAATCTGCCTTTCGAGGAAATCTTCTTTATCTACCCATTTAAATGTTTAACAATTACAAATACGAAACCGTAGTAAATTTGTATTTGAACGCAAAGTGAAACTAATTGAGATTTATTTACAAACTAATCAACTTGAATCCGACATAAATCTATGCGTTATTTGTTTATATAATTTACAAAGACATCTTACTCACAGTGTTCTATAATTTCTCGGCTCAGGCGGGGGAGGAATGGGAGATTACCAACAAAAAGCTACAACGGATAGGGGCAGTAAGCGTGGGACACCATTTACTTGAAACTCGAATAATATCAAGAAACACGAAATTGTTACTCTTAGCATAGATCTAGAGATGTATGTATAAATATGTATATATATTTTGGGTGGTTCGATTTGTAGTAAACGGAGTAAAAAGTATTGGCCTTCAAGAGCGAAGGTCTGTTTAGAAAATTCTGAGAACTAAAGGTATAATTTCAAGTTGACCCTTCAACCTTTTAAGAAATGCAAGCCAGGGAAATAGGTACACTGGATTTTATATTTGGCTGTCCTACTGACATTGTTATATAGATGGCAGGGATCGTTGACGTTCAAATTGCAATTTCTGGTAAACAAATCGAACCACCCTGTCTTATATAGGTCTGGGTTTTGGCTTGACTACGAGTAGTAACACGGCTGACGATTACCTCTGCCTGAGTCGACTGTGGCTAGGGAGGTGGTGATGGTGGTGGAATTTCCGCCGTAGTTGCTGCCCAGGTAGAAGCTTATAAACAAGATGCCGCACAGCAGAGATAGCGAAAGAACGACGCGCACTAGCTTCCTTGCAAAGGCGATGAGTCCAAGTAAATGACCGCCAGCCGCAACACCGCCCAGCTGCCTATCGCCGTTGCCTTGACAGCTGCGGCACAGCTGCATATACGTCTTGATCAGGGCATTCAGACACTCGCCGTCGAATTGGTCAAACATATCGGCACAGTCCAGACCCAAATCCATCAAGTCAAAAGCACATGCGCAGTTCTCTAGCTCCGTGCAGTTGCAGTCGTGGTCGTTATTGTGGCTATTGCGAACGGCATCGTTTAGCTCCTGCCTGGTCAGATTACACGGTGAAAGTAAATATTATTTGCGCCTGGCGCACGAATACGCCGTAGATTTGGGACAGGTTGAGGAATGTCCCATTTGCTGATACATCAGAAATCCGAAGCCGGCAAAGAGCAACAATAACAGTGCCAGCGTCACGTATTGCAGGTTCTGGGTAAACGCCAACTGACGTTCCATCGCCGATGCCGGATCATGACCCTGGTATGAAGATATATTAAAATTTATTTTCTTCGGTTTGTTGTTAGTAAGGAACTTACAATAGCCGACTTCTTGCTGTCCACGCAAGACTTGCTGGTCTTCGATGGACAATCCGGTGGCGCTTTAGGCTTACTTTCTTCGAAACGACATACCAAACGATGCTGCTCCACATCCACAGCAGTGGGAGATTTGTTCCGCCACATCTCTGCCACGTCAGAGCCACCGCATTCACCACCCGACGCCACCATGGCCATCACCAGGAACTTGTCTTTGCTCTCTTCACTTAGCTTGTGCTCTGACTTCAGCCATATATTAATAGAGGCCGACTGGTTAGGTTGGATAATGCCACAACGGGGTCGCACACGGAACTTTTCAGGCGATGTGGTTTGAATCTGAAAAGGTTTAGAATTTTGGTTTTGGTAAGAATTTGATATTTAGATGATTAACCCACCTTGTACGTCACAGCTGACTTGGCAATCGACTTGAGGTTCAGCGTGGCCTCTGCATTCTTGGCATTAAAGTTGACAAACTCCTTTGGATCGATGTTCAACATGCCTAATCAAGGAAAGCAATGTAAGGGTCCCCGCTTGGTATTAATAAGGGCTTTTTGAATATTTTCAATTTTGGTGGGGACCAAGAATTTTGTAAATGAAATAACGAACTAAAATGAGGCGACTTCGTTGCTCACAATGAGTTTGTATATTTATGACATAATGGGCAGTGCCGATTGATAGAAAGCCAAAATTATTCATTATGCAATGATACAGTAATTCTAAATTAAATCATGTTAATAGGTGACTTCTTACCCTCGGATGGAGTGTGCATCTCGTTGATGTTAGACTCCTTGAGCACCAGGGGAGCGGTATTGGCAAAGGTGACCTGTCGATTAAAAAGAACTCGTTCAAATGACCGTCTTTTATGGTTAGTAGGATTGTTCGGTGCCTCCCCCTTAATCAGCCCCTTTCGAACGTGCTTTTGTGTGTCATTTTTACAAGAGCCGGCGCACTATTCTAGGCACCCTTGAGCTGGCATTATTAGCGAAGGTTCCACTTGTACCGGAGGTCGCTAGGTGAATTGGTTCGATTTGGTTTTCTGTCGGATGTGGGTTGTCTGTGTGTCTTGTAAATCTTTTATGCATTGGAATAATAAGTTTGATCTGCCCTTATCGCTGCCCTGTGGATGCAATCTCCAACTCACGTAATTGAAACGCCCAGGGTCAGACATCGGTCACATATGTCAGTATCCACACCGCGCTTATATCAGTAATTGGACTACAGATATATAACATATAACGAAAGCCGGACTTTTAGACTCCTGCTTTGATTCGTTCTGCCCTTAATTTGCATTTACCCAAATAAAAACAGCTGGCAACCCTGAAACGGTGGATTTCCCGATTTCGCTTTAGGGATTTCTTAATACGCGTTAGCACATTGCAATATTTTTACTTTTTTAACGATATTTTGAATTTTATTTTTTTAAATTATCATAAAGCTCGGCATTAATGAAAAAAAAAAAAAAAAAAATTTGAAATAAAATTTAAATTGCCTCATAAGCCGGGCTTAGTGGTTCATTTCATTGGTTCTTTTTGCTCACAAATGGACAGTAATTTAAAACAATACCTTTTCCTGAATTTAAACTGAACAAACAACAGTTGTCATTTTAGCACAAAACAAGGAAAAATATGCAAGGTAAAATAATCGTCTTGAATGGCAAGACAATTCGATCCGTTTCGGGTTTGTTGTGCTTTTGTTTGGGCTTCCACGTAACGCACTCATGATCATGATGACAGGCAGGCCACATTCCTTATAATTAACCGGATAAATTCAGCTTGGGTAATAAATACTTTTGAATGTTCGATGGTTTATAAATGATTTATTGATTGTTTAAAGACTGACACATATTTCTTAAGCACAATTGAATGGACATGAACACTTAGCGAGAGGTCACCGTACTGCGCACACACACACACACATACCCTAGGCATTTTGTTGAAAACTTTGAAGAATGAATATCAATAGATGGTACAATAAAAATGCAGCTTCCGTCCTCCGATTTTTTCCTTTGTCTCGACGCTTTTTAGTTAATAACAATTATAGACAGGAAATATCCATGACGATTAGCACAAGTTTGGAATAAAAACGAACATAAAATGAGGTTGCTTAGTGGATTTTTGTGACTAGTTCGCGCGAATGTAGAAATACAAGTGAAATAAAAGCACACCCAATATGCGAGCTTTCGGTTCGCTCCGCCTCTCTCTCGCTCTCTTGGTCGATCAGCTTCTTCCAGCTGTTGTCGCCACTGCCGTTTTTTGTTGTTGCCGCAAAATGAACTGAAACTGTAAATGAAAGTGCCGTTGCAATGAGAGAATGATGACGTCGTGTGGGTGTGATAAGAAAATGTTTGCGTGGGTGTGTGCTGTTGTTTGAGTGTGAGTGAAATTCTCGAGTTGCCTCGCCGATTAATATTCGCTCTGGGAGTCATTAACACATCACGTATACGATATAAATACACACATACATATGTAGAACATGTTATAATCCCTGTGAAAATGTGTATGTGTTCTACTTTTTACGGGTCAACGCTTTGGGGCCTCGAACTGACCGGATAGCCACTGACCCAAGCCAGAAACCGAAAGTTTAGCAATATGTCAAATAAAAGACTATAAATAGCTGCTGTAATGTTCTGCCCACAGACTGCTGCTGGTGAAACGAGCAGCTACACTGGGAAAAATCTTCATTGGTAAATAAAATAGTAGTAATCTTAAATTTTACATTTATAATTTGTTGATAAAAATCGTAAGGGATATAGATTTTTAAGTTAAGCTGTTGATAACATATGAAAGTCTATATCATTATTTGTAACAATCACAAACAATCGAATATTAAATCCAGTTTCTATAGCTTTACTCTAATGTTCCCTCAGTGTACTGGGACAGACCCTCGCTTAGGTAAGCTTAGTGGTCAGTTGGGGACAGGCAACTCACGCAGGACACGCAAACAGCGCACCCTAAATCAATACGTCCCAAGAATGTGAATCAATTATGGAGAAAGCGCCGTGAGGAGGTTCGCGTGAGGTTTTGGAAAAAGCAATTAACCGACCGAGGGACCGTCTCCTTCCGGGTGCAGCCATGTCACAAGGAACACGCCCGACAGGCGAATACCGCTCGAGATTTTGTCTGTTGTTGGTTGTGTCTATTGATGGTACTACTATGTGTACCTGTATCTGCCACCCATCCCTGCTACTCACCTTCTTGTCCGCGAACTGCTCATCATCGCCGGCATTGGCGGCCACCGGTTTGGGTGAAACCTGTTTGGCCTCCGGCACGAAGCTAAATTCATAGTTATCCTCGCCACCCCAGCTGGCCAGGCTGTTGTCCTTGGTTATGTACTGGCTAATGTCCTTTTTCGATATCATTTTTAAAATCTCAACCGCTTTTGGTGGCAACAGGGCTTTGATGACCTTAAAAGCAGCTAGAAAAAAGGATTAACAAGAAGTCATGGTCACGGTTGATGTTTTGAGAGAAGTTCAAAGTTGAATATGAAAGGATTTTAGATTTATATCTAGATTGTCATCAATAATTGTTTATAGTACTTACCATTTAGTACCCAGGCCAGTTCATATACCAAAATATAATTCAGAGTATTAGGATAGTATTGCTTAAATGTCTCCACAATGCGTTTCACAAAGTCCAGATCCATGGTAGCCAATCCCGTGCCCGCCATGTCAAAGAATATGGTCAGTTGGGTCAAGTGCTGCTCTCTCTGAGTTCTTTCCACCCAATAAACCACGACGCGAATCAGCTCATCCAGATTCTTGGATTTACTATGCAGTTTAACACGGAATATCAACAAGGGCTTGCCATCGACATCTGTGCTGTGTACAAAGACCGATCCCTCTTTCAGGTACTCCTGGTTCAGCTGGCTCTCGTTGAGATCATTAGCCCCATATGACTGGCGCCAGACACAGGTGTCCCACAATTTGTTAAAGGACGCCTCTATGTCGAGATCATGCATTTCCAGGAATCTCTGTAGCCAAAGGTGATCATTACGAATGCGATCGATATCGGTTGGATGGAAGGGTGCTGACAGTGGATCATGTAAAGAAATAAAAAGATTATTGGAATCTTATCTGTGGATTATGCGATAGCGATAGAGCTTAAGAAAATGCTCTGTGGAGATAGTAAATTCCAATCGATTACACGGGCTTATCTCTGCTCTTTTATGGCACAACCCATAGTTTCACATTGAAGAGCATTAATCTATGCAATTCTGTTCGTAATCTTTGTTTACTTAAGAGGTGCCACCATTGAAATTTGGAGGAGATAAGGAACAGATTGATAACAACATAAGGTACAAGTGTTGGTTCGAGTGCTTTTTATTTTAGAAAAGAAATAAAAAAAACTCTTCATTTTCATTATAAACCATTCGGTTTGGTCTAATCTTTGGCCTCATGTACTTAACCTTTTGCCTTTGCTGATTATACGGAAGTCCGTATACTAAATGCCTTACCTTCCCCATTTCTATATACGAGTATAGGTGTTTAAGTACGAGTATCTATAGCTTAAGTCTCAAGTTCAAAGCTTTCGCTGGAGTGCACTTAAGCCAGCGTAATCGTTGAGCTAGGCAGGGCTGTTTAATTTATGCACTTACTAATTGGAGAATTTGCACTACAAATAAGCCAAGCAGAATGATTCATATAAACAAACTATTGTCAGAACACTGCTATATATATCTCTGGTAATTAACGATTAAAACCTGTCAACTGTGGGAATATACGAGACCATAAACCGAATTTATTAGTTTCGCTAGCTAACGAACGTTGCACTTTGTAGCGTTTAAGTGTTTTTTTCTTTTTTGCTGGATTATCTCACCTGCTGGAGGTGATGAGGCATATTTGTTGTTGAACTTTTCGCGCAGCTCCTCGATTTGTTCGGGGGTCGTCTCCTTGACCTTGATGCCCATGCTGCAAGCTATATTTCACACTCGATCAGAACGAAAACTGCGGGCCAACTAAACATTAGAGTTTAATTCCAATCGAAGGGGGGACTATGAAGTTCCTATCGGATGGCGCCTAATCAGAAATCCACTTTCACTGCGATTAGATTTGCTTGACTCGGAACACAGGTGAAGGTACAATAGGCAGGGTTATCATGTACAAGCGGGAATTATGCGAGCTATCCAAGTGCGTTCCACGAGCGTGTACGGCTAACTGAATAAACGACTAACGGTGTCGACACGATCGGTGGATTTAGATACATACGAACACATCGCCTCGATCGTTGGCAGTCGGGTGGCGTACGGATTGAATGTGGAGCACCTGGTTCTTCGCGGTACTATAATGGGCCTCCCAAAAGGGCAAACCCATCCACCCGCTCGCCCACTGCTGCAATGGAACGTGATCGTTTGGGGTGTATATCACTTGCATTACAATTACCTCCAAAATGCTTGAGTGGAAGTATAACCGAAAAGCTTTCGAAGCTTTTCGCTGGAGTAAATAAGCAAAGCCAAATCCGGTCAATAAATATCGTATTATTATTTACACTATCATACAAAGTTTAAGGCAATTTTAGGCAAATTTGTAAACATAATCGTCATTACCGCCCCAGAGTTTAAGACTGTTTTCCTTGTCCACATACTGGTCAAGATCCTTCTTCGTGGTAACCTTAAGAATCTTCAATGCTTCAGCGGGCAGGAAGGTCTTCACAACTTTAAAGGCAGCTAAATAAAATAAAATTATTATTTAGTTTTTAAATGAGAAAGTTAAAATCATACCATTCAACAGAAAAGGCAAGTCGTGGACAAGAATATAATTCGGCACATAGGGATATTTGGTCTCAATCATTCCAATAATACCCTTGGTGAAGTCCAGGTCCAAGTTACTCAGCCCCGTGCCAGTCATATCCATAAAAATGGTCATCTTATCCAGGTTAGTTTCGCGCTGCACCTTCTCAATCCAGAAGACAATGATTCGCAGGAGATCATCTAGATTCCGGCTCTTCGAGTGCATGTTAATGGTCAAGATCAGCAAAGGTTTTCCGTCCTTATCCTTGTTATGGACAAAGATGGAGCCATCGTTCAGATATTCCTGGTTTAAGTTCGTCTCGTTGATGTCATACACTCCGAAACTCTTACGCCAGGCAAGGTTATCCCACAATCTGGTGATGCACTTCTCTACATCGAAGTCGTACACCTGCAAAAGTTTGGTGATCCATAGGTCACTCTCGGTAATTCGCTTCAGATCGTTCGGATGGAAAGGTTCTATTTTGAGAATATATATAAACTTCAGATTAGATGCGACTAATTTTGTTGAAGTGGCTTACCTGCTGGTGGCTCTTTCTCCAGTTTCTGGAGAATGCTAGTCTTGACTTGGCTAATCTGCTCGGCAGTGGGATCCTGATCTGAAGGCATGTTGCTGCTTGGTTTTGCCTGAACTAACTGAAATATTCCCTGCAGTTGGCTTTTATATGAATTCCTTATCTACCCCTTTTTATAGGTATTTGAAAATGTTTCCCGAGCTCTAAGAGGAAGTATTCTTAATCTGAGAGCGTGATGACTGAGCAGTCAGCGGGCTAATCAACGACTGACAACTCTACCCCAAACGCTTGTCGGCTCGCTCGCCGAGAGCGTTTTCAGTTGTTCTCCAAACCAATTGTGCTCTGCTTTCCAGACGATCATGTAAATGACTCAATGCGGGTGGGGGGCCCGGCAATGGCAGAGGCAACCACACACCCGCCCGTTCTTTAATCAATATTGAGAAAATAAGACAATCTGGGGGGCAAAACGAAGGGGCCACCGTCAATTGCGATAAGCGGAACAAACTGGGGAACTGGTAATGTTTATGGTTCTTATGGAGGCGATTCTTAGGGAACTTTTATGGTTCTTGCTGTGGTTTTCTTTGCGATATATGACGTCTCCACTGGCTTCTTACTCGTATATCTATCTTTAATAGGGGGCGTAGAAATTCCTTGTGGCTTGCCTGGATTTTAAGTAGCAAGCTAGGTCTACTAAGCTGAACTATTCCCCTTCAAATAGCAGGCGGATATGATTGCGGTGGCTGTAATGGATATCTAACAGGCAGGGTTTGGCTAAAATTACAGTAATTTTTTTTGATTCGCATAACAAGATTGATTTATCAATTACATTCATGCATATACATGTATCATGTATGCACAAGTGTAGGTTTATTTCTGTGGGAAAATAGAAAAATGGTAATCTTATCAACCTTATGAACTTTGTTTTATAAGTTAGTGGGATTTCATATATACTAATTATAATTGTCATCGTTATTGTTTGACTTTTGTTCCGTTGTTTTAATGGCTCATGGTTATAAGTAAAAAATAGTCGGATATAAATTGGTTAACTAGGAACCAGTTTAAATGTTTATGAAACCTTATGGTTATAAATAACTAATTTAAGTGGACAATATACGTACTGGTTATAGTCATTCGTATTTTCATTGCTCTTCTTTATTTTTTTTATTATTAAGTTGTTGTTAGTTTTAAGGTATTATCGATAGATTTTTATTTAGAAAATCGATTTTTTGACTGTTCTAAGTAAAATAAGTAACTTATTTTATTTTAACTAGCAATTACTGTTTAATTGACTTTACTGGTTTTTAGGAAAATGGTTTGGTAATTATTTGTTAACTAGCTGTAGTTTGATATTTCGAATTCCAATAATTAACAATCATAACTAAAAAACTTTCGGCTAAAACATCAATTAAGTATTAATAAGTTATCCAATTCACAAATTCAAATAATTAATCAATCCTAATCAATTTAAAATCTAAATTCATTCATGTTGCGCTTTTGTTATTGTTGACATTGAAACCGAGTGAGGAGAGGAGAGGAGAAGAAAGAGCTGACAATAACAAAACCGATGCCATTTACATATCGAAAGCTCGATACCTCCTTAACCGTGTCCCCCGCCATTTGGACCATCATCCCATCCGTCAGCGGACATCCAAGAACTTTCGCTGTTGGCTGTTCTGGCCCAGTTGTGTTGTTTACGTGAAAACGTGCGTTTGGACTGCGACCACTTCCTCGCTATTTATCCGGATGCGGATGCATTTCAGCCAGTTTTGAGAGTCCCCTAAAATCCCCTGAGATGAAGTTCGCCGAGCACCTTACAGCCCACATAACGCCCGAGTGGCGAAAGCAGTATATTAACTATGAGGTGAGTGCCGATAAAATGTCACACCAATGTGCGGAAAAATCTGTATCCGTGTAGATACACGGACGAGTGTGCTTTTCCCGCTGTCATTCTGCCAGCTGTGACGTCACGTGCCACATCAGCTGCTTGGCCAACTGTCAAATTGTGGAGCTTTCAACGCGCATGCGCCCTGTTGAGCGCACATTCTGTGTTGTGCTCTCCTTAGACGTAAACAAATCGGAAAGGGATGGAGAGAAGGGCGGACGAGAGAAGAAGGCAAAGAAAACAAAGGCAAAGATGAGCGAGAGAGATATAAATACAATGATGACCAAAAATCTAGGTCCTAAGTCTGAAAGGAATTTATTACTTATTATTTTTTTTTTTTAATTAAAAAAGTATATACTAATGGGTTCTATTTTCATTCCTTTAGGAAATGAAAGCCATGCTATATGCAGCCATCGAACAATCACCATCCGCTGAGCTGGTAGAGCGCGAGATGGTGACCCGATACTTTGCCAAATTCGATGAGGAGTTCTTTCACTATTGCGATAAGGAGCTGGCCAAGATCAACACATTCTACTCGGAAAAGATGGCCGAGGCGACACGCAAATATGGCAGTCTGCGAAGCGAATTAACAGAGGCCCTGGAAATGGGTCATCCGAAGAAACAACCAGCATGGAAGAGGCGGACACCGCTTGGCAAGAAGAATGTGCCGGCGCGTAAGATACAGGATCTCAAGTTGGCATTTAGTGAATTTTATCTGGGACTCATTCTGCTCCAGAACTATCAGAACCTGAACTTCACGGGTTTCCGTAAGATACTTAAGAAGCACGACAAGCTGCTGAGCGTAGACTATGGTGCACGTTGGCGCACTGATCACGTGGAGGCAGCACATTTTTACACCAACAAAGACATCGATCGGTTGATCCAGGAAACGGAGCAGGCTGTTACCCAGGACATCGAGGGTGGTGATCGGCAAAGAGCCATGAAGCGGTTACGAGTGCCACCACTCGGTGAGCAGCAGAGTCCGTGGACCACCTTTAAAGTGGGTCTCTTCTCCGGCGCCTTTGTTGTCCTCTTCATTACGGTTGTGATCGCTGCCATGTTCTATGGATTTGGAGAGAATTGGCGGGCTGGTATGAGGATGTTCCGAGCTCCATTCCTCATTATCGAATGCCTTTTCCTTTGGGGCGTCAATGTCTACGGATGGAGATCGTCGGGTGTGAATCATGTACTTATCTTTGAATTGGATCCTCGCAATCACCTGTCCGAGCAGAATATCATGGAGGTGGCATCGGTGTTTGGCGTTATCTGGGCTTGCTGCGTGCTGAGTTACATCTTCTGCGATCCATTGGGCATCCCGCAGTATGCAGCTCCACTTTGCCTCTACACTTTAATGGGTGCCTTTTTGCTCAATCCCACAAAGACGTTTCATCACGAGGCCAGATATTGGGCCTTAAGGGTACTGCTAAGAGTTATCATGGCTCCATTCTGTTTTGTAAACTTTGCCGATTTCTGGCTGGCAGATCAGCTGAATAGTATGGTGCCAGCCTTTCTGGATATACCATTCTTGATTTGTTTCTTCGGTCGAAGTCCCACGTGGCACAAAGCTGGAAAGGGTGAGTTGACCTTGATATATATATATATACCTTGATAAGGGGAAAATGGCCCTTAATCTTTCTTACTTACTACTTCTACTACTTACTTACATCTTCTAGTAAAATCTGTTTCACATTTTTCCATTTTAGTTTGCATTACATTCATAAAGAGTGCTATTATTATTTTTCCATTTCCATCTCAAAAGTACTTAACACAAAATTTCCGGGAGCAATTTTATTACCACGAAAAGTAAACAATTCGGTTCGTACTTTTCTCCCCAATTCTGGTTAAAAACTTTTCGCATTTTAAATCAGTTTACAAATGAGAAAAGTGCAAAGCCAACAACATTCAACAGCATTTAAAATGTGAATTCAGTACCGAGAATTGTCGTCCTGATATAATTATAGAAGTACAAAGTGGTTAATTTACCGACATTGTTTTATTTATGCAACAGCTGCCAGTCACTGTGTGGAGTATGTGTCTCTGCTGCATCCCATTGTTGCCATTTTGCCTGCCTACTTCCGGTTCGCTCAGTGCATCCGCAGATACCGCGACACAAAGGAGTCGTTTCCGCATCTGGTCAACGCAGCCAAGTATGCAACATCCTTCTTTGTGGTGATATTTGCCCACAAATATCACACGACCACGGGTAAGTGGATTCATTATGCGGGCGTGAGTTCATTAGGGCACACCAACGTCACCGCAAGTACAAATATATATACATATATATACATTATGCGTGCTGTTTACGGTCCAGTGCCAATTAGTGCCATCTTCATGGCCGAAAATTCATGTAGATTGTATTTGGCAGGAGGGCACGTGCATCTCCAAGCCCACACTCACTCGATTGTTTCTTGATTTTCAGATACCTATCCACTGTCCAAAGAGAATCCCTGGTTCTACTGCTGGATTACGGCGGCCATCTTCTCATCCTGCTACGCCTACACATGGGACATTAAAATGGACTGGGGCCTGTTCGACTCGAAGGCCGGCGACAATCGATTCTTGCGTGAGGAAATCGTTTATTCATCGACGGTGAGTCCGGATGGGTAGTGTTTTTCTTCTTTTTTTTTTATTTGGAGGTATAGAGTGGCAGAGTAACCCCCACAAATAATGGCCACGATAAATATTTGGGCAAACGGCACGTAAAACAATCTTTCAAAGCGTTCATTATCTCTGTCTTTTGGGTTTCTCTTACTTTTTCGGTCCTCAGTGGTTCTACTATTTTGGCATAATTGAGGATTTAATACTGCGCTTCAGCTGGACCCTCTCCATGAGTCTAATTGAGGCCGGCTACATTGAGGGCGACGTGATGATGACCATTCTCAGTCCCCTTGAGGTTTTCCGTCGCTTCATTTGGAATTATTTTCGATTAGAGAACGAGCATCTCAACAACGTTGGCAAATTCAGGGCTGTAAGGGATATATCGGTGGCACCAATGGATTGCTCAGATCAGGTGGGTGAAAATAATTTGTCTAAAAATACCATTTATTTTATAAATAACTTATACGTTAACATAGTTTTCACAGAAAACATCAATTAAGTTTACCCCAACCTTGTTTACCTTGAATTTCAGACAACGATTCTACGCATGATGGACGAGACGGATGGCGTGTTGAATCGAAGGCGTGGAAAGGCCGCAGGCGGCAAATCCGCAACCAAGAAGAACAAACAGGAGCAGCGGCTGCTCCTTCAAGGGGAATCCATCGAGGACCTCTGTTCTTAGTTGGGAAACCAATTGGGTTACCCAATAAACATCTCTCTATGTGCACAAATTTTAAGTTCATGCTAATAAAGCACTGCAGTTGCATTTTCGGACAATGAACAAATGGTCCACAAAAATGTCATTGTTTTTGCCAAATGTGAGCAAGAAAGTTCGAGGAACTCTATTTTCCAGCGTCATCTACATATGATATGTGGGTGGAGTGGGTGTTGGAGGCAATGATGGCGATTGATGATAAACACAAGTTCAATTCTCGTGACTGTTGAACAATAAACTTTGGCCCAACTTCAGTTCTATTTGGGTCTGGCATTTTGGGTGCCTAAAAATACATTCGCCGAACCATGCTTTCCAGTGGCTTGTTGTGGTAGTCATGGCAAATTTACGTAAACGTTAGCATACGTAATTATTGATGACACAACAGCGTATGCATGACGTTTGATATGTTTTGATGATGTGTCCAAAATCATAAAAAGGAATGACCATCGATTAGAAAGCAACTGTCTCTTTGTTTATTTTTGGTTTCAGCTACGTTTCTTGGAATTTCTATTTGATTATTTTTCAATATATTAAAACGATTCCCATTTTGCATAATAAATTCTGATCAAAAATTTCAATGGTAGCTGATGTTGACAAACAAATTTGATGTATTTCACCGTGGGTTACCTCTGGGAGTTGGAAAGGTCCCGCTCGCAGCTGCACAAATAGTGATTGATTGATTGGTTTTTGTGAGGTTTTCCCCAGCTTCGACTCACTGTAATTATTTAATAAAACTTTGAAGGACTTCTGCTCCCTGCTGATTATGTTTTATCAGAAATCCTGCATTATGATAATTCTTTTTTGAGGTTGACAAACAAATATTTTTGTTAAATTCTCGATTAATTTTGTCTACAAACTGACCACTAAGAATTCAATGTGATTTACTCAACCACACTTTTGCGGTCTTTCGGGGACAAATGGCGATAATAAATGATTGTTGGATTTAATATGTTCTCAATTTAATAACGCGAAAGCAAAACTCAGCAAGTTGTGGGGAAAGGAAAGTTACACAAATTGTTTGAGAAACTTTTTGTGTTTCTTGTAGTCAGAAAAGTTTCCTTAGAGCCTTTCGCAGTTTTTGGAAGTCCTTTCCATGCTTCATATAAATATTCTTGACAGTTTTTTATGCATTTAATTGATTCAATTTTGCAATTTAAGAGTTGATAAAACTTATGTTTCCGGGATATTTATTTGACAAGCAAAATGCAAAATAACTGTCAAATAAATGTGAAAAGTCTGGGATGACGAAGAAAACGAAACATCTGGCAATCAGACTGGCAACTTGAACGTGATCAGCTTTGTGTTTTCATAAGGTAAATATGTTTTTAGCCTTTTCTCTTTTTCCACTTTAGCAAATACTGTGTGCTCAATTTGAAAGCGGATTATATCACGGCTTTGGGTCTTCAACAGTTGCTTATTTGTGTGAAGCCAAGGTTCAATTCAAATTGCACTTCTCTTTCAATTTTCCTATATTTTTAGAATTTTTTTTTTGCCCTTGGGAAAACATTTTTATGTGATTCCGTTGCCGGGCAACTCCCGGTTGCAAAGCGTCATTGGCCATTAGAAGCCATTTATGGCTTGCAGATAGGAATTTCCTTTTTGGCCACTCCTGGGATGGCGGATGTCACATTGATGAGAATCTCTTACGGGCAAATGCTTGTTTTTGAAGTCCTGCGATAAGTGGACCCTTTTTGGGGAGTGTTTTTATTAGCCTGAGGATTTTTAACCGCTCCTCTCATCTTCGGCATGAGAGCCCATATTTAGTCGGCATTTAATTTTTGCAACCTTCGAGATGAACCCATTGATAATGGAGTTGTGTGGTATCTTACTTTTACCTTGCGGTTGTAGCTTTTAAGCAGATGAGAATGTAAAATGTGCTTACCTTCTGGGAAATAATAAAACAGCTCCATGTTTTTCGTTTTCCTTTCTCTTGAGCGACAAGCAGCAGCGCTTACTTTCACATGTCAACGTGGTGGTGACACCTTTTTTTCCCAACCTCCAACCTACTTTGTTGGATATTTTTTTCATTCGGTTCGGTTCGCTTCCTTTACTGCTGTCAAAGCAGATTTTCTTTGATTTGGCAGGGGCGCCAACATAGGCTCACCAAAACCTGATGGCAAACACACAACACGTTATACAAACAACAATGGCGGCAATCTCTTATTTGTACGGATAGCCCACCGTGCGTATACGTGTTATTGTGTTGACATTTTCGGCTTGGCCTTGCATTTCCGACCATGTTGTTAAGGTTCCTGATTGCAATTGTTTTGCTTAGCTCACCCACTGCGTATATGCCATGTTACACGCATTGCAATTGCTTTAAGCAGCCGTGTTAGTTAATGTTTATCTTGGCCAAACATCTGCTCTTTGGGGGCTAATAAATGGGTAAACATTACGCTGGAGAAATGACAACGACAATAGCTGAATGCAATTCAGCTGTGCAGGAATGCAATCGGCATATGCAAATATTCAAGGATTAAGTGATTGAAAGGACTGAGTTGGTTCGGCATGTGCGAAATGGTTAAATTAAAGTTTATCCGCATGTATTGATTTTCCGTTTCCAATTTAAATTTTGCCAATGATTGGCTTTTTGATGCCAATCAAACGGTAGGTAAAATTGCCTTGTTGCAGAATACCTATATATTTATTTATATTTCTAATGATGACCTGAAATAGAATGCTTTGATTGCTGGTGCGTGCATAGACGATTTCGTTCATTAAAAACAAAAGTGATAGATTGCAGTTCAAAAGCCCACTTGGCGTATACGTTATTTTACACTGAGTTGGTTTAAATTTAACCATCAGTTTTACTGTGTAACTCACATTTCGGGGAACAGCCCTTATTATACGCTGGGCAGTGATTGAACAAATGTTTACATTGAAAGTTAATTAATTAATTTAAAGCATCTGACAATGGCCCATCACTGACAGGGACTGTCAGGAAGTGGCCGGGAATTTCCACTCAATATGCTAATCGAATGCTGCACGAGTTTTAATTAACCATGAAAAGCATTTTGACGGTTGGAAAATTGCGTAGTCTTTAATTAGGGTTTCGCCGAATTTAATGTCAGCAAATGTATGGCTAACCCGAAAAACGTGGGGGGCATAAATCGTATTTGCCACTGCCATTGTGGACCATCTGAGTGGGATGTGCTGAGTAATTCGAGGCGGATGCGAGGCCAAAGGCCTTTAGTCCCATTCGTTTGCCCGCCATTGATTGATGGCCAAACTGCTTGCAGAGGAAAAAGCTATTTATAATATGTTTATTATTTATCATGCATGCTAATGCCAGGATGTATAAACATATACATATATATACATTCGGTTATTGGTCCTTCTTGTTTGCTTATGAAATTTGATTGAAACTAATGGCCGACGACGCTGACGCCGAATGGCATCCGCAAATGTCACCCAAAGGACACGTAAAAGCCATTCAAATATGGGAAATAAGTCAAGACAAGGTTCCCGGGCAGCTAATTCGCCGGAAAGGAGATAATAAGGATAAGGGGCATCCCCTTTTAGTGAGTTTCATAACCAGTTTTAAGTCCTTAAAGCGCATTTCAAGGAGTCTAACTAAATAAGCTTATTTCTTCTGCTCACGTGCCATGAAAATTCCATTTGAAAGCATATCAATTGTCAACCCAGCTTAAGCTCAAGCACTTTGAGTCGATTTATCATTTATAGAAATTTCCCTCCGAAAGTCAAGACATTAAAAGAGGTCAACTTCAGTTGCCAAGTGACAGCCAAAAGTTTTGACAGCGAAATTCAAATGCAAACATACCAGTCGACAAAATAAACACCCGGAATAACTTAAATTTAATATTGAAGCTATTCGAAGGAAAGATCAACAATCAACAGTGCTTGGCGCCCAGTTAAAGTTGGTCTTTTGGGGAGGGCAGCTATAATAATAATAATAATTATTATTATTCCAGCAATTAGTTCACTTTTAACTAGTTTCGGAAATAATAGCCTTGTGCTCATTTGGCAAAACTTTAAAAGTTCATTGGCGTAATTTAATATAATTTAGTTTAGCTTTTTATATTATTTAATTGCACACTATTTTCATCTTGCTTTCAAGAGTAATTTAGTCGATTAGTGCTAATTGAATTAAATCCCTTAAAAGCCTCGCTAATTGAGTTAAATTATAAAGCTCAGGACTTAACTATCTCAAACTGTAGCCATTCTACTCAAATTTCCATATTTATTGCTGAAAAATTAATCGCGTTATACCCGACTTCTCTCTGCGGATTTATTTACCCGCGAAACGTTGTCATGACGACTCTTTGGATTGCGGTTTTTCTTATACCCTATATGGAAAATAGGGTATATTGGGTACTTTAAAAGTTTGCATTTAAGTTCTAAGAAAATCATTGAAATTTGTTCGATTTATGTATATGCTTGTAATATATTGAATTTAATTAACTTTGGCATTTAAAAAGGGTATCTGTACTGCCCTACCTTTGAATATTTACCAAACCTTTTTGTTTTCCTTCATGTCACACGGAAGGCGGGTGTATTGCCAATTAAAATATCTCGTAAAATGTGAGAAGAACACGAAAGGGCAAGTAAATAAATTGAATTTGGTATCATCTTAAAGCCCAAAGTAAAAGAGGGTAAAGAGTTACATTCACGATAAAAAAGTAAAGCAGTTCCTTCTTTGGGGTTTTGCAAATAAGAGAGGTCCCATTACTTATTTGCGAATTGGATTCTTTTTTTTTATGAAAAATAACTCAACCCTTTTGTATGCTAATACCGTGGCTCCTAAAAAAAGGTCAGATGTTTGCCTTTTGTTTTGAAGTGAGCGGTTTTCGCAGTAGCCTTTGAAACAGCGTATAAAAAAGCAGCTCAATTAAAAATGGCTTAATGTTTCTGGGAAGCAGACTCTAGAAGACCCCTCAACTCACACATGTGCGACATCTGCCTAATTTCCATCGAATCCCCACCATGCATTTTCACGCTGAGGTGTCACCTAAGCCCACAGCTTTTCGGGGGGGGTCATAAGATTGATGTCTGGGCCCTGTTCCACATAATTTACTTGCACGATTTATTGCTGACAAACGCTAATGCCAATGCTTTGCCGACTTATGTCCTAATTATTTCGGCTTCAATATGTGTCTGCCGAAATTCCTTTGAAATCCCTCAAAGGCGGAAGACCACTTGGGTACTTTTGTCTGTAGCAACGGCCAAGTGGCTTTAAGTCTTCATTATTCCAAAAGCTGTTTATAGTTTTCACTTGGCAGAGTTTTCTTATTAAAACAAGTCATTTGTGAATGCCCGCAAAATGACCATTAAGCTTTGGTACTTATGGCTTTTCCCATGGGAATTAAGTTGTGGAACAAATATGACTTCTTGAGGATAACGAATTTGATGTTTCAATTAAAGCACCTCATGAATAGGCTGAAGGAATTTGGTTCCTTAAATGGTTTTCATCATTTAATATTCATTAAGATGCTTACATCTTTTATGGCATCCCACTGGTGCGTGAATTAGCTTCATTTGAATGCTAATTTTGTAATTGAATGTATATGGACACGTATACATGACTGAATATGATAAGCTTAAAGCACACGCACATAAATCTACATAAAATTCCTTTCAACTGACGTTCATATCGACCCTTTCCCAGTCCACGATGCGTATACGCAATAAAGCGAGTGACAAACTGGCTGCCATTCTCGTCAAGCATCAAGTTGCCCAAAAAGTTTGTTTACTTTCTGCCTTTTAAAATACATCAGAACGAACACATATATAACAACAAGGAACCTTACCCACTTGTCATATGCTATAAATCAAGTGAAAGTCCAGAAAGTCTGCGTAAGGCAGAAAAAGTCCTTGGGCCTCAAGATGTCTCAAATCTGTCAATATTATTTGAGAGTAAGGGGAAAAGTTAACAAGCGGCTTTAAAATTTAACATTTAATTTAATCCGAGCGAAGCTCAATCTCCTGAGTTTGACACACACAGAAGTTTTGGGTTACCAGTCTGTTCGGGGAAACTTGGCTCGATGTGTGCTCAGAAAAGTTGGACATCCTTTGTTACACTTCCTGTTTCCTGTTGTTTCTGTGGTAAGATGATGGTGATTGTCAAAACTTTGCATTTTCTCAGGGTTTTCAGTGTCATCAAACATGCATGTTATACACTCGTTTATATAGCCGAATATATACGCCAAGTTCGATGGCCACCACTGCATGCCAGTCAATGTGTCTAAAGTTCCTGTGGTTGCTGAGAACGACAGGAATTTCATTTGATTTCACTTATACTTTAATTGAATTTTCACTTAAGCAGTCAAGACGCTTGGCAAATATTGCCACTGCCCGTCGCACTCAAGCGCTAATGGAAAACTCATTATCCTGGAATCGGGAGTCAGGGCGGGCAGGCATCTTAGCAATTAGATAGAAAGCGTGCGCGTTTCAGCCTCGTGAAAGTGAGCTTATTGTCAATTGTGTGTGCGGAGTAGGGATCTAGGATCCGAGATCTGGCACTGTGGTCTGTGCAACTGTATATCCCTTAAGTGCCCCATAATGGCGACTTTAAAGAGCCGCCAGCCAAATGGTGAATGTTGCTAAAGCCGAAAGTAATTCCAGGGCTTTTGCGCAGCGAACGTTGCATTTGTTTCTCTTCAAAACTGAAGGTAATTCCAAGAACGCAACGAATCAAAAGCTAAGCACATTGTCGGATAACAAAATGTTTATATTTTCTGTTGTTTTACTACTATACAAATTTCCCAGGTCTAATCCTGCTGCTCTTAATATTGCATTAAACGTGAAAACTAAAGTAATTACACCTGCATTCCATGGCTTCCAAATCAAGTACATGCTGGGTGAGAAATGCCTTCATCAAAGGCAAAAAAAGGCTGCCAAGCGGAAAGATTGCAATTTCAACAATTTATTTCATGGCCGTTGGTAAACGATTGCTTTTCTAAAAAATTTAATACCAACAAGAACAGAGATCTAACAGCGATTGCAAAGCATTTAAAGTTAACTTAATCATTTATGTTTACTCGGGAATTTTGTCAGAAATTCGATATTTATATAACGGACTTTACACTGCATTACGCCACTTAGGAATCCATTAGGTTTGGTTTTTCTAACTTTGTAGCTTTGACCAATGTCCAGATGTTTTTGCGTTGTGGACTTTTTTTAAGGGGCATGTCATAGAAATGTGCGGAATCTCGCTGCCTGTGGCTATGTCAATATTTGGGCGACTTTTCACAAAAGTAATAACAGTTCTGCTGACTCTTTATGTGGATGTTTCCATAGCGTCCATAGCTATCTGTGTGTACCGTACCCTGACCACTCATAACGTTAAATGTAAACTAAACTGATAAAAATATGTAAAAGAAAATAAACTTTAAAATGCTTTTAATGAGGTTTAGATTGAACGCATCCAAAGACTGTGGATTCTCAGTAAATCTTTGAATTTGATATAAAGTTAAATTTATAAACCCCTTAGGAAATGTGATTTTGATTTTCATATTCCAAGTAATAAAAATCACATAGGCTTTTTTCTCAGTGTGACACTAGCTAAAGCGCATTACAATCTGGAAGCTGGGCAACAGTTTGCGGATTGTGTGGCTTCTCCAGCAGCGACTCTTTGTCATCGACAGGATACCCAGCTCGTACCCTAAACCATGCATCCGCTCCAAGGCAGCGTACCGGTGTCATGTGTCCCTGCAACTTCACCTGGGGGTTTAATTAACAGGGCCAATTTAGCCCGATGATTAAGTGCCATTTAATGAAGCCACTGTTTGGGTCTGATGACGTCTGTAGTCATCTGAAGGTTGGCTGGGAGTTTTAATGGATTGCAATGGGTACAAGTTTGGATTGTCATTCGTAGGGATTTTTAATTAGGACCTTAAAACATAATTTGAATATTATTAGACGGCAACTAAAACCACTTAACCCGCGCTCAATCTCTGACCCTTTTAGGGTCTGTCAGCATTTTTCAAAAGCTAATTAAGTCTTAAAAGTCAATTTTTTTTCTCTTGGTCTCTTGTTGTTTTAGGGTTATTTTAACCTGCGGCTGTCTGCCCGAGTAAAGCTTAAGCATTTGAATAATTATTTCAAAATGTCTGACGTGGGGTCATCTGCTCGAGTTACTGAATAGTTTTGCTTGGCAAAGCACTCGAGCTTAAACGGAGCTCACATCCTGTTGTCATTGTGAAGCACCGGAATTTGCTGAAGAGCTACGGGCAACGTTCAATAAGTTAAACTTTTCTGTGACAAAAGGTCTCGAGTATGAGCGCTAAGGGGTGGAACTTCAATAATTGTGTAAAAACTGTTGCCTACTTATAAGAGTATTTCTAGTGGTCAAAAGTTTTTCCAAAGAAGCGCTTTTCTCTTTGTAAGTTTTTCAATTTTAGAGGGTATTACTTAGTTGGAAATCTGTAAACCTATTATTCCAATTCAGGAAAGAGAAATTTTCTTTAAGCCTCAAGATTTTGGTATGCAGAGAAATCCTTCCAAGAAATATTTCCCAGATTTTTTCACAGTAACGAGCTTTTACCGTACTTTACGGTTGAGCAGCCAAACTCTAGAAACCTTGGTCGTGCAGGCCAGTATTGTTTGGCTATGGAAAGGCAAAGGACATTTATCACTTCCTAAAATCTTGTTGCATCCCCCAGTTAGATTCAGTTGCCCCGTTACCATGGAACATGCGTAGGTGCTCAGCTGTAAAAGGGTTGTTGTCAAAGCCCAGTATGCCTCTTGAAAACCTTATTTGCATTTATTCTGCCATCTTGGGTCAATCAATTTGTAAAAATATCTGAACTCTTTCTTAAATTTCTGCAGGGATTCGTTTTGGGGGAACAAACACGTAACGTTGGCTTAGTGATGACTTGCACTTGCATCACTGCAATGAGCTGGGCTGGATGCCAGGGTAATAATTGGTATTCGGGCGAGTTGCTCTCCATTTGACTGCTCCGAAAGGTGGCCTAGATGAATATGTTGGCATTTTAAGTTAATTAAAAATGCCTTTGACAAGGACCCTCAGTTTCTTACCTGTTCTCGACTGTTGCTCCTCCTCCTCGGTGATGGTGGAGAAGTTAGTAAGACGCTGTGATGTTATTAGCGGGCTGGCTACTCCGAGCATACGCCGCCGCTTCCCATTTCCGTTTCCGGTCTCCAGCTGTTGCAGCATATTAGCCTGCTGCTGTTGTTGCTGCTGCTGCGTTTGTTGCAGTTGCTGCTGCGATTTGGTTAACTTCTCGGCCGCTGTGAAGACCACAATAGGCTTGGGTTTGGACGGAGGCAAAACGGTGTTCAAGGGGGGAGGGTAGGTAAGCATACATGGGAGTGGCACAACACATTCACCGAATACCTACCGATGCCGCAGATGCCGCCTGTTGCAGCTCCGCACGCTGGGAGCGGAACGTCTGGTATTGCGAGATGACGCACAGCAGACAGTAGAGCTGGTAATGGAAGTGAAATTGATCGGTTAGTAGCTGCTTTAAACTGCCTCCCATACACTTAACCAATTTAGGATTATAAAGTTATAGATTGTTTAAGATAAAATAGGCATAAATAATACAAATTCTAAACTCACATTTAGGCACAGAAGGAAGAAATCCATGGTAAAGATGAAACCCACAATAGGATCGAACCTAACGCGGCGGGATAGGGACAAGTGCACCAGGTGGCAGAGCTCGATGAGCAGGTCGCACAGCATGAAGAAAATCCAGGGTATCAGAAAGTGTCGTTTGCTCTGCAATTTCATGCGAAATCGAGGTGGGACGTCAATTGAGGCGGACAAAGTACAAGTACGCTCCAACACACTCACCTGCCGGAGACCCAATATCAACAGGACCGACGCCATAACCATCAGTATCGAGCAAAAGAGTAACAAAACGTTGAATATCACAGTCACTGCAAGAGGCATAAATCACACGTAATTGAGTCGCTTGCCAGGAAAACCAGAGGTCCTTTCTCACTACAGTATATTCCTTCAGAATCCTCACCTACAGTCACATCACCCTTCTCCAACAAGCTCTCACCCATCGGATGAGCACGGTTCCCCAGTAGAAAATCCTGCTCCTCGAACAGGTAGAACAAAAACATCAGCGTTGAGAAGCCAAAGTAAACCTGTGTGGAACAAATTGTGAAGAAAATACAAAAACCATTTAAGGCTACACAAGGAAATTATGGCACACATTTGTTGTGTATTGCGAAAGCCCCCAAAGTGCTTCCCCCTTTCCGAAAATCCCCTTCAAGTGACAATTGGATGCCGTAATTGCTGAAGGAGCATGCACCTCGACACGGTAATATGTTTTCTAAGGTATTTCCTACATTTTGCTTGTTAATCACTCCAATTTACTGTCTTTGACAGATATTAATTAGGTAAATGTAATATAACAGCACAAGAATGTTTGTAATAAGACTGTAAATTACTGAGTGACATTCGACTTGAAATTCATTACTCAGAAACAGATCAAATTATGGTATTGATTTCTAAACAAAGAAAATGATTTACTCAGTAATAATTTGTTATTAATAAGCATTTTGACTTCTTAAACTAAAGTCCACGGGCTTATAATAGCTTTTCGTAATTAATCGTTGAGAGTTGCTTTTTAATCCCTCATATAGGTACACAACTGGGTATTAAGAAGGTAAGTTTCGACTGCTTTTGCTTAAAAAGTTTGGAAAGGCCAAGAAACTTTGCTCAACTGTTTGCCGTTTGTCTAAAAAAGTTGAAGGGAATTTTGATATATATATCTGCTTTGCTTTAGGCCACATTTTATCTTAAGAAATTATTCATATATGAGGAGTAACCTACCAGCGTGTAGATGGCACAGGCAAAGCTGCCACTCCGCACATCCTTCCAAAAGCAACAAGACTCCAGGATGGCCATCTTTCAGTTGCTCACGCCTCGGAGATGAACATTCCCAGCACACGCTGACACGAAAAAGATTTTTTGATTTTCCTTTTTATTTTTCGGGAACGGCAGCCGCCACTTTCACTTGACTTTCTACACTTTTACCCGCAGGGATTTCACTTTATCTCGTTTCCCGCCAAACGGTTAATTTGCTTGTTTTAGTTGTTTTTCTTTAACCAAGTTTTTATTTGGCACTCTCCAGATAAATATCTAGGATATTTTGTGGCTGGTAGCGGGACACTGACACATAATTCCATACACAAGACGGGCAGATTTATGACACTGATTTATGTGGCATGACCGGGCATATTTATGTGGACCGAAGTGTGGGGTTGCCAAAACGAGAGACTCCGAAAAGAACCGCCGTCATTGAAAGTCACATCGGGACTGGCTTAGAGGTTCTTCGCAGGCGACCACATTGCTTTCAATTTCGAATGATTCGCACACATTTTATGAATGAAAGTTCGAAAGTTGTAGTGGAGAATGGGTATATGGGGTTCCACGCATGCGCCATCTGTGGACAAACAACAGCAACAGGCGGTTTTAGGAAACCTTGCATCCTGGCTGCGGCTGACCGAATTTTCATGCAATTAGCCACAAACTGTGTTGGCTTTGCCAATACCACAAATTACTGCTCCGGATTAGTTCTCGATTGGATTTGCCTGAGCCTTTAATTAACGTGGAAAATGCTCAGCGGGCTGCCTTTGAGATGAGCCAACCGCATAGGAGGAATGATGGCGTCGATGAGTCGGACTGAGTCCAATGACAATGCCCATTTCGTGCTCCAGTGGCTGCCACCGAATCGGAAATGAAAACTAATGTAGCCAAAGCACTGGCATGGAAAAGCATCAAGTCATCATGGTAAGAGATTGCCAAAAATTTAACAAGTCACATCTGATTAAATGGGGGATTAATGTTTGTGTAATGATAGTGATAATGATTTGATTTGTTTGAATGGAACGAATATTAAAACCTTCTAAGCTAAACATAATGCAGAAAAAGCACTTCTAGTTAAATGTATCCTTTTTCTCTAATTTTTTTTTATTCGTCAAGAAGCCAAGATTTGTTAGTCATATTTTTTTGTCTTTTAATATGGAAAATGATGAAAATCGAAATGGATCAATTAAAGGTGACGGCAGGCCTAATAGAAAAAAACAAAAGGATCAGGGTCAACAGTCGGATCCCAAGAAGCCGTAAGTATTGGCTATGTGTCTCGGAAAAAGGTTGAACCTTTTCATCCCCAGAGCTATTCACAATGAGCCGGAGAAAGTGGACATAGGGATTCAGGCTGGTGATTCGCTTGAAAAGTTTAAAGTGCAATATATTGAGCCGAGCGATGATAATAGTTCTTTTTATTTGGAAAAGAGAGAAAGATCGGAAAGCTCATTACCACGACGAGCATGGGAGACGGACGACTATATGGATTTCGATGATCTACTGCCGTTGATCGGCCAGTTTGGTGTGTTTCAGATTATGATGTTCCTATTCATGATTCCCTTCTGCTTCATCACGGCCTTTGTGTATCTGGGACAGATATTCATGTGCCTGACTCCTCCTAATTATTACTGTTTTGTACCGGAACTTTCAACCACAGGGAGTACAGAGCTGCGTAAGCAGTTGTCCATTCCAAAAGAGAAGGATGGATCTTGGAGTCGCTGCAGAATGTACGACACCAATTACACTAAGATTCACTTTGCATATGACCAGAGTTCTTATATCAACACATCCTTGCCAACGGTTCCTTGCCAGAAGGGATATGTCTTCGAACAGGAAACCAATCCCTTTGAATCGGCCACCATGGAGTTTGGTTGGTTGTGCGAGGATGACAAGTACGCCACCTATGCTCAGGTCATCTTTTTTTTGGGCTCAATTCTGGGAGGTATGGGCTATGGCCACTTTGCGGATCACTGCGGTCGGGTGGCAGCACTGGTCAGCAGCTGCTTCCTTGCCTTGCTCGGCAGTCTGGCCACCTCAATGTCATCAAACTTTTTCACTTTTGCAATATCGAGATTCATTGTTGGAGCCTCCTATGACACCTGCTTTACAATGGTATATATCTTGGGTAAGATATTGGGTACAGTTTTCAATATTTTGATTATTACGATTATGGTTTATTAAAGGCCAATGTTATTGTACTATTTATATTTTATATTTCATTCAAGAATACTTGAAATACTTTTTAATATTTTAAATATTTGCTCATCGATTTTGTTTTATTATTTTTATTTATATATACATATGTATATTAAAAAAATGAGGATAAAAATATGTAATTCTGTTTTTTCTAGTTCTTGAGTATGTTGGTCCCAAGTACCGCACTCTGGTGGCCAACTTATCCCTGGCAATGTTCTATTCCCCCTTCACCATGCTGATGCCGTGGATAGCTCTTGCGTCGGGAAACTGGCGGAGATTTTCCTCATATGCAGCCTTACCCATTGGACTAGCTCTATTTTCCTTCTGTTTGCTGCCCGAGTCTGCACGGTGGGTTTTCCATTTAGACATTAGACTATAATCCTAACAATCTAGGAATTTCATGATCACAGCTGGTTGGTGTCTGTGGGTAACATCGAAAAGGCAATGGAGATATTAAAGAAAGTGATTCGGGTAAATAAGAAGAAAGTTTCTCAGGAAATAATAGATCTTTTTGAAAAGAGTTGCAATCAGTTCTACAAAGAGGAGCTTTACGGTCGTGATTTTACCGTGTTTTCAATATTTAAACGGAAGCGCATGGCCCGTTATATGATCCTGCTGATTCTCATCTGGATGTCGATATCTTTGGTGTATGATGGACATGTGCGGGCGGCCAGTGTCCTGGACACGGGCAATATCTTTATATTCTTCACCATAGCTTGTGCAACAGAGCTGCCGGGTAATATCCTGGTTATCCTCACTCTGGATCGTTGTGGACGTCGCTGGTGCTCCTTTGCTTACACTTCGTTGAGTGGAATCTTTAGTCTAATTGGTGCTGGCCTCAAGAGTCCGTCATCTATGAGGATGTCAGCGCTAGCTGGAAGATTCTTTGCCAATATCTGTTACAATATTGGCCTGCAGTGGGCCGCTGAGATACTGCCCACAGTGGTAAGGGCTCAAGGGGTGGCGTTCATACACACGATGGGCTTTGTGGCGATGCTGATGTCACCACCAGTGGTGTATCTTTCCCAAGTCTCCTTTTCCCTCATGCTAGTTGTTCTGGGATGCCTTGGACTCTTGGGTGGACTGCTGGCCCTCTTCTTACCGGAAACCCTAAATCACGATCTTCCGCAAACTCTCGATGATGGAGCTGAGTTCGGAAGAAATCAGAGGATGTGGCATATGCCCTGCTGCGGTCCAGGATCAAGAAAATCCCATCCCAGGCACGAGTGGCATCAGGGCTCCAGCTTAAGGACCTTATCGAAGGAGGAGTTTCGCTCTAGCAGAATGTTTCGGAAAACGAAAAATAAGCCCCGGAACGAAAGTCCATCATCGAGTAAAAATATTAGCAACGACGAAAGAGAAATACAAACTTATAAATATGGAAGCGGATGAATTTAGCCCAAAGATAAGGGCTGTTCTTATCTTAGTCACTCACTGATTTAGTGTTTTGATAATTCACGTTTTATATAATTTTCATTTTAAGAATTAAGGAATTCGCTCTTTCTTGTGCTGATATCATACAAAGTACCCTAAGATTCCTTTGCATAAATATACGTTTTATAATGTTTTATAAGAATGTTTTTTAAGGTTTATTTAGAAAATACTTTTTAGAAAATCACAGCTTTTCAAGGGGAGCACTTGCAGTGTTGATTCTGGGAACGGTCGTTTTGTGAAACCTTTCTAATTAATAAACAGTGCCAATTTTCATGACGAATGCTTTAGTTACGGGGAAATTCTGAGAACATTTATGGCTAAGCCAGAAGTTCACTTATTTGCTTTAGCCAGTTGCTTTAGAAAACACCTCAGCCCAATGTTTGGCAGGATTGCTTTCTTCTTGACCGTGGTATATATGGTCTTTAATATAACGTTGTTGCGTTGGGCTGCTGAGAAGCAACCTTTTATTTTTTTCGAAGATGAAGAGTACTTTAATGAAACTTTATGGAAACTACTGAAGCCTCGATATGTAGGCAGTCAAGGACATTCCGAAGTTAGTGACTTTATCGAGAAGGAACTCCAGTATTTGGGTTTCAACACCATACGGTATGACTTTCATGAAGGCGCTAGCTTCACCAATTTGGTAGGCTTTTGGAATATGGAGGCAGAGCACTTTTTGGTGCTAACTTGCCACTACGATAGCAAAATGCCAAAGGATTTAAATAAGGAAAAGGAATTCCATTCAGCGACGGAAGGGGCGGTTTCTTGTGCCATTCTCCTAAACGTGGCCAAAAACTTACAACAGTATTTAGGGGAACAGGTGGCCAAAAAAAGTGATATGGGTCTCGCTGTAAGTATCTAAAATGTGAATATGTTTTAACAATGTAAGATTTTGAATGTTTTTTAAAGCTTATCTTCTTTGATGGTCATAATTCGGTTACTTCCAAAGACGAGGATCGACTCACTGGAGTTAGGCATTTTATAGAAACGGATGTTATACCTTTGCAGAATATAGTGAGTTTGTCAAAACTATAACTTTTATTCATAGATATAAATTTGTTTCTTTGTAGGGTGTTGTGTTAACCCTTAGCTATATCGGAGCTCCGAACCAAATTTTTATGAGCTACTTTGAAAGCACCAATGACCTGCACCATCTGCTAACCGACATAGAAAAGGAATTAAGAAAATCTGGACAATTGACCGACTGCCATGTGTTGTTCCACAACGAAAAACGATACGACCATGATATCCTTGATGATCATATTCTATTTAGTGAACTGGGTAACGTTACACGTTTGTTTAGCATTATCTTGCAAAATAATCTACATCTATATTTCCCCAGGCGTGGCAGTTTTACATCTGGCTCCACAAGAATTACCTAAGGTCCTTTACACGGCAGCTGATAATGTAGATAATTTACATTACCCTACAATTCGCAATATGATCAAAATAATACGCAAACTTGTGTACGACTTCTTGGAACAATGGGATTCCTATGCGAATATGAAGGATACTTTTAGTGCATATTATGATTTAGATGATTATTAAACCTTGTGTAAATATATTTAAAATATTAAGTCTTTTTATTTTTATGTTTATTATTTTATATTACATCTACATTTCTTTTGAATATGTTTAGCTTTCTACGGTTAAGAAGATTGAATCATTACTAAAACTGTAATAATTAAGTAATTATTTTTATCAGCTGCAATTAATCGAGATTGCACTGTGAACTTTTCCCTAACGACCGTAGTATCAAAAGCTGTACGAAAAACTCTCGCAACATGATCAGCTTAAAAAACCTCTCTTGACCCGAAGACCAAAGCTTTCGAAATGATTCTGCCCACCAAAGAGGCAACGGAAAACGAAAACAAAAGTCATGAGCATCGAAATCACAAAAACTACGGTATAGATCGATTTTTCTGGCGTCGATCGCGCTTCAGTGCGTTGCCAAGCTTCAAAGCGTATAGATGGGGATCGGTTCCGTGTTTTTTTTCGCAGCCGGCCTGCTGCTCTTCCTCCTCCCGCTTTCAAAACAACAAGCTCCAACGAGAAACGTAAGTTTCCCCCGCTAAAAACAATCAAAACCATTGTGACTCACTAGGGCAATAGCAGATAGTGGAGTTAAAAAAAAAACCCATCTTATGTCTACCACAACTTTTAGACTGGATCCCAGTGGCGCGACGATGAGGTCCATTTCAACCGCACCCTGGACTCCATTTTGGTGCCACGCGTCGTTGGTAGTCGGGGACACCAACAGGTGGGTGATAAAGTTTGGAATAAATAATTCGGTATTATAAAAATAAAATCACGAACAGGTGCGCGAGTACCTAGTTCAAGCGCTGAACGGCCTTGGCTTCCAAACGGAAGTGGATGAATTCAAGCAGCGAGTTCCAGTTCTCGGAGAGCTTACGTTCGCCAATGTTGTGGGTACTATAAATCCCCAAGCTCAGAATTTTCTAGCTCTAGCCTGTCATTACGACAGTAAGTACTTCCCCAATGATCCGGGATTTGTGGGAGCCACAGATTCCGCTGTGCCTTGTGCCATTCTGCTGAACACAGCCAAGACCTTGAGTGGGTATCTGCAGAAAGAGTTTCGCAATCGCAACGACGTGGGACTTATGGTAAGTTGTTTTCATTGTTAGACATGATATCAGACCTTGATGGCTCAAAAGTCATCCGTAAACCTCGAACTACAGCCATATGACTTACATAAAATTCTGATTTTCTACTTCTTTAGCTCATATTCTTCGATGGCGAGGAGGCTTTTAAGGACTGGACCGAGGCCGACTCCGTGTATGGTTCAAAGCATCTGGCCTCAAAGTTGGCCAAAACCCGCAGTGGTTCCCAATCTAGCGGCCAAGTTCAACTTGCTCCACGCAATATAGATCGAATCGTGAGTCAATGACCTTAGTTCGAATTATCAGCTTGCTAAGATTTAATTAATAACAGGAAGTGCTGGTGCTGCTGGATCTTATTGGGGCGCGGAATCCTAAGTTCTCGAGTTTTTATGAGAACACACATGGACTGCACTCCAGTCTTGTGCAGATTGAGAAGTCTTTGCGCACTGCTGGGCAGCTGGAGGGCAATAACAAAATGTTTTTAAGTCAAGTTAGCGGTGGTCTAGTCGATGACGATCATCGTCCGTTTTTAGATGAGAGTAAGTTTTGAGTTGCTTTAGGACTATTTATAATTACAAAATCTTATGTTTTCTCTTTCAGATGTTCCTGTGCTGCACTTGGTGGCCACTCCTTTCCCAGATGTTTGGCACACACCTCGAGATAATGCCGCCAATCTACACTGGCCGTCCATACGCAATTTTAACCGTATATTCCGAAATTTTGTCTACGAATATCTTAAAAGGCACACGTCACCAGTGGATTTACGTTTTTATCGAACTTAGTTTTTGGGTTGTCTTATGTATAAGATTTATTAAGCATAAGTGTAAAGTGTTTTTTTGTTAATTAAAAAATGTCCTAAGGCAATTGTAAATATTCCTAGCGACGTTTGCGCCCGGCCTGCGCCTTCTTGCCCGGAGCTCTCTGGCCACGATTGCCCTTCGACTTCTTGCCCACCGCCTTGCGACTGCCCTTACCCTTGGGCTTCTTGTTACCCTTTTTGCCTTCATTTTCACCCTCTGCCTCGCGTCTGTTGAAGAGAGAATTCAATTTAGTAAATTCAATTCCATAATAATCTGTGAATTAACTTACGCCAAGCGGTTATCGCGCTTTTCCATTGATATCGCCTTGCTGACATCCAACTTAGGTTTCTTGTTTAGTACGCTCTTGATGAGATCCAGATTGGCCTCCTTCTCGGGCGTTTGTGAAATATGCGATTGCTTTCGTTTGCCACCAGGGATCAATTCCTTGATGCCCAGACCTCGTGCCTCCTTCTCCTTGGGTAGTTTGTTTTGGAATTTACCGACAGAAGCTGTGGAGGATTTCGCCACGGTGACTGCGGTTAATAGCTGGCTGGAGGAAGCAGCCTCAGGTCCCAGGTAACCGCTGCGCGGCATATCGATCTTCTTGGCGCGCACAATGTTTTTCATGCGCTGAATCTCATTCTTGGCCACCTTCTCGTTGCGCAGATCAATCTTTTTCTGGAACATATCCGTATTGGGATCGACATTCTGTGGCACTTCCAGAACCCAATCCTTGGCCTTCTCGGCCTCGGCGCGCTTGAAGCCATATGTAGGTACCCATTTCTGTAGGTGAGGTAGGGATTAGTACGGTTACTGTGAGGTAAAAAGGAAAAAAACTTGCATCCATGGTCTCATCATAGGTCTTCTTATCCTTCTTCTTCTTGCTGATGCCCTTCTCCTTGGCGAACTTCTCCCATTTGGTAAGCGGGCGGGGACCTGGAGGTTTACGGAGGCGGGGTAGTACGGTTGTAGGTTCCGGAAGCTTGGCCACAATGCTCTCGTCCACTCGTTCGGTGGGTAGTTTCCAAATTTCATTAATAAGGAGTTGGGTATTCTCCCGTGTCAGTGCGGTCAGGTACTGCTCCTTGTTGTTCCTGAAAATAAGCATATTCAGTAAAAAAAAATCGGCAATCCGCCAGGAATCATTGCATACTTTAATTCCAGGTCATCGAAATCATTGGGATCTGTGATCAACATGGTTCCCACGTCCAGTCGACATTCTAGATGCTTTTCAACTGTTATCGGCTTGTATTTGTCCAACTCCTTTTGGTGTTTTGCTAATACTTCTTTAACAACATCCATTTTGTGGGAATAAACAGCGAAGCAAAATTCAATTCAATTCCCCGTACACGTGCTGTCTATTGTGACCGTACTTTAATAAACAAAATACTTTTAAAAATACCATAAGAAAATACTGAACGGCTACTCCACTCTCAAACCATGGTGTGAAACTTGGCTAAATGCTTATCGTATGGTGAGCGATATTTTTATTTTAAATTACAAGGTTCAACATTTTATTTTTTATTGATCTGTATTTATTCTACGATCTCTACATCGCAATGTCCAACGCTTTTCGGCTTCTTCCAGTGTATGAGGCATTACAGTTCCCTTGCTTTCGGGGAGAAATATCACTATTACTCCGTCAATCACCGAAAGTAATGCGACTATAAACATCGGCAAAGAATGGTAATAGTGGCGGGTGAAAAGGACTATAGGGGATAGAAGAGCACCGCAGCTACCCAAAACGTTAATGAGAGCTAGTCCCTGTCCACGTAAAATAGTCGGCAGGATTTCAGCGGCCCACTGTTGACCTATATTATAACCCATTGTTACGAAAAATCGAGCTATAATTGCCAATATCACTTTATCCCATTTTCTTTTCAGTAAGCCTACAGAAAGGCTGGATGCAGCACAGAACAACATAACGGCTGACATAATGGGCTTGCGACCGAATCGATCTATTGTAATCATTGGCAAAATTCCAGCAGGGATTTCGAAAAGAGAGCAAAGGGAAAAGGTAATAAAGACATCGGTGTCCAACAATGCAGCCACCCGCACATGAGCATCGTACACCAAAGCCACTATCATGCAATTAAAGATCAATATCGTCATGACAACCAACATGCGAAAGGTCTTGAAGAGATCCAGACAGGTGTATTGTTTGCGAGATTGCTCGGCGGCGAAATTGAGTTCAAAGCATTCCTTCATCTCAGACCATTCCTTATCGGAAACGGTTTTTCCATTCGTTTTGGCTGCTTCTTTTAGGACTTCAATTCCCCTATCAACTTTTCCCACCGATATAAGCCAACTGAAAATCAAAGGAATTTTAAAGAGATTTGTATTTTGGATGAGAATATAAAAAATAACTAACTTGGGCGACTCAGGAAGTAGTAAGCTAATCAAAATCATGAATACCATAGGAAGGGCGACGGTCATTGCGTAATACCTCCAATACTTGAAACCGTAAGCAACCCAGGGAAGAGTGCAGGCTCCCAAAGTAAAAGCAATTGTTAGTGCTAGATTCCCAACCAGAGTACGATATTTGCTGCCAACGTTCTCCAAAGCTGTTAACGAATAAATACTAGTAGTAGTTAAAATAAAGAAACTCACTTAGAATATAAATGGGAACGAAGCAGTTGTTCATTGCCAATCCAACTACAAATCTACTCGCAGCAAAGCAGTAAATGTCCTTGCACATTGCACTAATGCAACCGCCTGTCATGGCACAGGAATTGGCCAGGAATAAAGCCACCAAGCGACCGTAGTGATCGGCGACGTATCCAAAACAAAGACAACCCACAATAGAGCCCACGAAGAAGGAGACTACACTGTAAGTGCCAAAGACTTTGTCATCACACACCCAATCGTACTCAATAGCGATGGACTCGTAGGGCATTTCGTTGCGATCATAAATCCAACCATTGTTACAGGGAATCTTGGTCCTTATCATGTTGGTCTTATTTGAGTCGTAGGGACCTTTATACATAAAACATTTTTCAAAGCCGCCATCTTCCTTTTCTGGAATTCCTCGACTAATTTGCTCCTTTTTGGGTAAATCCTCCAGTTCTCTAATCCTGCACCAGTGATCTCTAGGCTCCAGTATCATGAATATTTCACCAAAGTAGGTAAAAGCAAAAAAAAAAGCGGCTGGCATCATACAAAGCAACATTCGCTTCTGAAAGGCACCAAACTCTCCGATGAACGGCAGAATGTCATCGTATTTATCACAGTCATTGGGAGGCATTTCTACACAAAATATTTTATAAAAAAAATGGAAACTCTAAAAACGCCAACTTATCATTAAAAAATAAACTCTCAAAATAAAAACCCATATTTTTAAAACCGAATTCATTTCCCGCCAGTAAACCGATCATATGCAGTATTTTTCCATTTCAGTGCGTTAATTTTTCTTTTCTCGTTCCCGGTCACACCAATTTATCGATAAGCATATAGACTTACCAAGTGTCATCACTAATTTGCGCGCGAAATACTTCAATAACAATGGATGCAGATTTACTGCCACTGAGGAAACGAATAACAAACACCTTTAAGCTATGTGGCTTTATGATTCGCTCCGAGAACAGTTCCTACCTGGCCGAGCAGCTGCTGCCCTTCGACTCCGCCGAACGGGACAAGTGGCTAACGGTGATCACCGAAAATTTGCAGAGCCAGAAGCTACTGACGCCTCATGTCGAACGAGCCGCTTTGGAAAAGGCCATCAATGAACTTAACAGGGTGGGATTGGATGAAGGCGAGACGGTTTTCACCTTAATAAATGCTTTTACAGTACCCCGTTTTCGGTACAATCAGCGGGTTAAGAAGTTCGAATTGGACACTCAGCCTCGCCAGTTGCTGACCGCTCCTCGCATGAAATCAGACTACATGCAGCAACGTTATGCCATGTTACTCCAGAAAACACTGCGGCATGATTTGTTTGCTCCCGCTGTTATCCAGGATGGTGTTGGAGCTGAGGCACAGGCCAAGAAATTCAAGCTTCAATTTGCGGAGAACCTTCTGGCCACCTCCACGATGAAGGAGGCCGTCGTCTTGGGGCTGCTTACCCAGCTGAAGGAAGGCAAGTTCTATGTAGAGGATCCCACTGGTTGTGTCCACTTGGATCTCACTGGAGCCCGTTTTCATGCAGGGTTCTTCTGCGAGGGGTGCTTTGTTTTAGCAGAGGGAAACTACAATAACGGTGTGCTTAAGGGTAATTATTTAAAAAAATGTAGCCGTTTTTACCTTTCATTTTCATTTTCATAATTTCATAATTCATATTCCCTCAGTTGATGGCTTAGGTTTTCCACCAGCAGAACCAGCGACCAGCAGTCGTGCCTTTTTCGGTACCGCCAACACCTGGGGCGGTGAGTCCGCCAAATTGCTGAAGTACTCTCCTCGCCTGCAAGAACTGGAGCGTACCAATACGGAAACTACTATAGTATTCCTATCCGATGTACGGTTGGATCTGCCCGTGGTTATGGACAAGCTGCGTCAGCTTTTTGTGGGCTACGACTCCTGCCCGCCACAGGCTATAGTGCTTATGGGTCCTTTCACGGCCAGCACAAGGAATCATCATGAGCTTAGGCATCACCTGGATGCGTTGGGTGGCTTGGCCGCTGGCTGCGAGCAGCTGAAGAAGCAAACAGATCTGATACTCGTTCCCTCATCCGAAGATCCTACGGCGCCGAATATTTTGCCACGTGCTCCTATTCCTGAGTGTCTGGCAGCTGGACTGCTGAAGACATGGCCACGCACGCAACTGGCCACGAATCCCTGTCGTCTGCAGTACTGCACCCAGCAAATAGTAGTTTGCCGACTGGACTTGATGGCCAAGTTTTGCCGAAATACGTTGCATTTCCCGGAGGACACATCACAGATCGAGCAGCATTTTGCCAGAACAATTGTGTGCCAGGGTCATTTGGTACCCATTCATCCGATTGCTATGCCCGTGCACTGGGATTACGATCCAGCATTGTGGCTGTATCCACTGCCAGATCTGATTGTCATGGGTGACTCCTGCCAGAGTTTCAGTAGCAGTCAACACGGCTGCACTGTCCTCAATACCGGATCCTTTGTCAAGTCAAAGTTTGCTTTCAAAGTGTATATACCTGCCACACGAACGATTGAGGACTCTGAGATACCGGATGACGTGGAGTAGTTATCATATAGGTAATTAACTATAACTTTATTATTAATTATTATTTGTATCTTTATTGCGCTTGTCGTGTATTATATTTTATTGGGTAATATGATAAAAAATTTTGACGTATGTGTTCTAAAAACGTGGCAGTCAAAATTTGTTTGAAGTAATTTCTTATTCAGATGTTTTTTATGACTTATAATTATATTGTGAAATGTTAGCGTAGAAACTACTCTTCCAGATTTATTCAAAAATTCGTATTGAGAAAGTCTCGCCCGGGACCATCTACAACTTAACATATTATATGATTTTAAGCCTACCGAATACTTTGTAAAAGCCTAGCTATTTAATGATTTGAATATAAACATGTTTCGGGGCTTATCATCCTACGGCTTCACATGTTGCGTGGCCAGAAAGCTCCTCTAGGATTTTCGCCAAACTTTGCGTGTGCCTGTTCCCTTGTGATAAGCGGCCCAGCCTCATCATCGCCGTCGTCAGTCATCATATGCGCACAGCATGTGTTCCACAATCGTCTCCTGGCTCTCTGGCTGACGCGTCTCGCAATCTGCTTTTTACGGCAACCGGGGGTTGTCTATTACTTTTCATGACTTAAAGCCGATTTGGAAAAATATTGTTACTCTGCCCGATGCTGTCCACTTAGGGTCGTGGAAATTCAATTTCCCAGGCTGGCACGCAGCTCCTCGGCAGCTGAAACGGCAATTTTGATAATGCGTTTGACCTGAGGACATCGATGGCCCCCATTTGCTGTCACATGACCGGTTGCCGAATCGTTTTTTAAGACATCATTAGCCGGGTCAATCGCAGAAGGGGGGAGGTTTTTTTCCTGCCTTGGAGGGTTTTTTCTCCTATTGATTTATGATTTATGAGTGCAACTTGGATAGTTGTGTGCCGCACGTCCCTGGGATCGATTTCCAAAATGTGTCCGCCATGAGTGTCAATTGGATTTGGTGGGCGTGGTCACAAATAAGTGCTAACTATATTTAGCCTGTCCCTTTGCAAGCTTAAATACTTGTACTTCCACTGTTATTTTATCTGTTTTTATGTTGACTTTTCAGCTTCTCAATGGAAGAACCCAGATTCAAAATGTTTTCTCTGTGACAACAATCTTGCTTCTGCTTCATTTAACTGGAACACTGGCAACTTTTGAAATTTAAATATTGTTTTGCGGTTCCTCTGCAGCTTGGTCGCAGTTCAAGGCAATAACATAAAAAAACATTTTATCTGTTATGGTCATCAGTTTTTATGGTGTCCTCCCCGCAAAGTTGACACCATTTAATTTGGAGCTGAAGCTTTTCCCTTCTTCCAAGCTCGGGACTCGATTAAAGCAATCGCTGATGCGGAATTTCGGAATCTGTGTCTTGGCCATCAATCATTCGACCAGATGCGCCCCCAAGTGGCCTGAGTCCAATCAAGGATCAAAGCAACTGGCCCATCGTATCCCACCTTTGGCTATCCTTTCGCACACACATGTTTGGCAATCAAACGGCTATGCACTCATGTGCATGTCCTGTGGTTATTTGACAATTGTTAACCCATCTTTTCGCTTTGTTTGGCTGATTCTTTGGTGTTGCCAAGTGGCCATATGCCAGACGTCCCTTGCAAATCCATCCAGTAATCCCCGACTTGGTGGTGTGATTTTGATTTGGATAAATATCCTTAACTGGGGTGGCTTTAATTGTTCGCTGTTTGATACCCTTTCGAGGGAATATGGAAATATGCTTATTTGTGGTTTACTCAAAGGGGTATAGACTCTACTAGTAAGATGAATTGTTAATATGAAGTTAGTGAGAGTATCAAGCAAGTCTTATTTAAATATTATAGAGTATTAAAGGGGAATACTTCCTATATTAAATGACTATATAATGCCATTTTAAAAGTCCCCTCTAGCGTAAAAATATAGCAATATTTTTAGCGCATATGGTCAAAGGTTTCGCTTGGCTCTTTGAAACCACAACGTCAACTGGAAAATCAAAAGCTCGCCTTTGTTTATGGACGCATTCTTTTGTTTTCAGCCATTGATACTTGAAGGGTTTATTAACTTTTTACGGACTCGACAATGAGCTGCATCCTTATAGCTGCTCCCGGCATTCAACATTTTGATAGGGTTATCATCAACATTGTGCGCTGTGGCAGGACACTAAAACACTGGGCGAAGTGCACTTCGGGAAAAGGAGTAAACGATGTTGGGATGGCGAATAAATCCGGTCCATAAACTCCATGAATATGACAACAATGTATCAACTTAAGCCCCGGACGAGCGGCGGTCTGGAATCCGGACGTGTGCCGACATTTACGCCTCAATTATCAGCCGCAGAGCAAACACTCTGGGGGTCACCACTAGGCATCATATAGAGGCGATAATTTGCTAGCCATAAGCTGCTCCCACACATGATGTAAAGTTAAGCCTTGGACCACCCATCGTGTCCAGACATTCCAATTCAATCTAAACCAATCCCAAAGCTCGACTCAATCCCAAAGCAGCAAGTGACACGTGCCGCCCATTAATTTACGCGTTGGCTTTATCTGCGATTTGCTTGCGCATTCTCAGCCGGGATTGTTAACTCTCCTGACTCTTCAGCAGAGGTCCTGCCACGTGCCAAAGTTGGCAAATCAAATGTTTTTATTATTTAAAGCGACAAACGCCGACGCTGACGCCGTTTTATTGTCTTCCTTAAGCCGATAACAACAACTGTCTATGGGAGTCTGCGGCGGCAGGACAAATTACAAGGCAGCCGCATCCTGACCGCCATTGTCCTTGGAATGGATAACGAATTGCACCTTGGGGACATGGCTGCCGGTTGCTTCTTTTGTGTCGTAATGAAGCTACTACTGCCATGTGATAAATTTTAATTGATTTCATTTACGTCTGCGTGGCTTTTGTCCCTTGGTGGCTCCTTGGCTCCCGATAAGGATCCGCGGCTAAGCGCGGCTCATTAGCCAAGGATAATGCATCTAGATAACACCACGATGTTTGACATAATTGAATTTCCCATTTTAAGCTCTCCTGCTAATGATCCTAATGATGATTTTTCTGGCAACAACCACTCACCTTGCCAGTTTTGGTTTATTAACTACTGTCCTTTCGGGATTTCTAAACGATTTCTTATGCTTCGCTTGCTTTGAGGTAGAATTTCAATTGAATTATAAAATTTGCACTACTAACTTTAATATAACTTTAGGTATTACTCTCTAAACTCTCAATTTTCTAAAGAATATAAATTGAATTCCCTACCTAAGCCTATCTCTTTTGCTGAGAACTATTTTCTGTTACATATTTAAAATTGATTGCTTTTAAATTAAAACTCAGCATAAATCACCTGGTTGGGCAGGACTCTCGACTCGAATTCACTGGCCATTGGGCGGCAAGACAAAAGCCCCACTTCTGCAGCCGTGTCAACACAATGGCACAGGCGACATAAGCCGATTTCAGGGATATATCTACCGGGTTCCAGCTCCCATTTCCCAGTCCTCCACCAAAAAAATGGTTCGAAAATTATCATCAACGCACAAGTGGCTTGTACTTGTCACACACACACAAAAAAGGAGATGGTGAGGGGGAGTTTCGGTTACCAAAGGATCCCCGTATTAAACCCCTTTCCCACCCCCAATGAACATGGCGAAATATTTTCATTGTGTTTCAGCAGATTTTCCGAACGAGTAGGGGGTTGGAAAAATGGGTAGCTGAAATTCGAAATGCGATTACCTGCGCTTGCCTATTTGTAGCTTGTTGTTTGGTCCTCCAAAAGCTGGGATGGGAACTGCCCGCCCTGCCCTGAATGCTAATCGACTTTTGATTGTGTGTTCTTTGCCGGAGGAGGATGAGGTTGGCTCGCACAAAAAGGTTCAAATGGTCGGGCCATAAATAGGAATTTATGCGTGATTGTTTTTTTTTTTTTTAGAACGAACGGGCACCAAGATTTATAGATGAGGGTGGTATATGTCCAGTGTGTTGATTGAATTTGGTTTGGATTTTTGGTTTGGGATGCGACCGGCACAGGTGACATATTCCTGGCGACCGAATGACAAGTGTTAGCGCCTGTTTTGTTTATCATTTTTACCCACCCGCGGACACTTCCTTGCCTCCCTGGATCTCTATTGTAATTGCTAAAAAACTTAAGCTGCGTAAAATCCCAAGTTTCAATTTAACGCTCTCATGATTTCTTGTTGGGATTTCCTGGACATGTGAGTTTGACAAGTGCAGCTTGCACTGGCAGCTCTATCTTATCTGGGCTTTTTTTGATTGAAAAAGCATCCGCCATCCGCTGGCTCTCCCATTTGACACTAAGCAGATGCGGTTGGGAATGCTCCATGTGTCAGATTTGGACTCTCTCTCTCTTCGAAATTCGAGCTCGACAGAATTTTAGGGCCAGAGAATACTTTATGGAAATTCCGGACATGCGCCTGAGAAACAAAGGGGCGGTCTTCGGCGTAGCGCCAATGGCAAATCCCAAAATGGAGTCGCCACAGAGCTGTTGAAACGAGACAGGAAATTGATTGGGGGGCTGAAGAGTCCGGAGAACGGGTGGCCTGCACATGATTGCACATATGTGCCGGCTGCGATTGCTGGCCAAGATTGCGAGTGAAAAAGGGAGCGGCAGCCAAAACAAAAAAAATGGCGACGTCCCGACGCTATCGCTTGCAGGCAACATACGTGTGTACTCGCAACAACATGTGTGATGTGTGCCCCGCCGTATGGAAGCCCCTTTCTCTGCGGATCCTCCAGCTCCTCGCTGCCCTCCAGGCACATCCATATGTAAGTTTCTACATACAATGCGGCGTAAATAAACAGACTGCCACCACAAAAGCGACTTCCTTGTTCCTTCTTCTTTTGCTCTAAGCATTTTGTTTTATTATTATTATAGAACTGGTTGTGTTTTGGGGCTTTGTGTATTTCGGTTATGGTATTTCCTGGAAGTGGCGCTTAAGCCGGATATCGGCGAATGGACCATCAAGCTGATGGGGAACTGCCTATCAATAGTTGCCCGGCGGCCAAGCCAGACCTCTTTCTTTGACTCTCAGCTTGATTTATGTTCTGTTGTCCAGATGATTGATGGGTTTCCTCTTAACTTGGCGTGTACTTTTTTGTCCACAAGTGGTATTTAGTTGTGGAAGTTGTTTGCTTGACAGCTTACAAGTTTGACAATGGAATGGTTTGATATTGGAAAAGTTTTTATACGATTTAGAAAGAGTTTCTTTCTTTTCTCTTTTCTTTTCTTTTCCATAAATTAAGAAATTGTTTTAAATTTTATCATTTTATTTTCTAAACTTTTATTAAGTACATTCCCGGTTTCTTGGTTAACCAATTGCCTTGTTTTTTTATGTTCCCTGAGCAATAAGCACGTTTTGGTAATTATTCAAAC